TTTTGAAAACATACCTAAATAAATTGACATATTGCTGCAAAAGAAACCTGGGATAAATTACATGCCTTTGACATTGAAAATACACCGACGCTTTTGAAACTTTCACTGGTCGGTTGCATAAAATGTAAATAAGAGCATCCAACTAATAAAATGTAAATCTCTGTCATTTGAGGATTTAATAGAGCAGTGTGACTGTGAACATTTAGTTGGCGACATAAATTGCATTATCCAATGTGTATGTAAATATTATTCTTGCAAATCTCATTATTTTCCACCCACCGTTGATGGTTTATAATCTCTCCGGTATTATTTTTCATACTAGGAATTATTGCTGAAAATGCGACTGAAGGGCTGACGACACAAACATAGCAAATCCCATTATGGCAATAATAACAGTTGTTAACAGCATCTAAAATTCAAGTGGAGTGAGATCGACGCACGAAGGGGTGTGAGTTGCTTAAAGAATCGCATAGATGGGTGAAATACAATGCTGCTGGAAATACAACACTGAATAATTTGTAGCTCCTTTGCTGTGTCTCTGTAAAATTTGCCAAATGCGCCAAATGAGTTTCCCGCTTCATTATTCGTATCAAGAGAGCTTTTGCTTCGCATGTGCCATGGCGAAAAGTTGCGACTTTGGACGCGGGATGGGTTGCAAATCAAATTTCTCATCAAAAGCTCTTCTCAACGCGAACGCGGCTCTGTTGAGAATTGCGAGGGCACACAAATTACACAAAGTGGAATGAATTAGATATTTCCACAGGGTCTGTGGCATATACAATCTGTGCGTGGTCAGAGGAAGGAGACTCTAGCAATTTGTAGGCATTCCATTACAGATAGTATAAGACAGAGACTTCTCCAGTATATTCAAGTCAATCTCGAGTAATGGTTGGAAATAAAGAAATTCCACGAAGCTTAGTTGCTTTCCCAAATCACGAATTCGATCGACGGAAGAAAAAGTGTCCGTGCCTTTTATCTTAATGCCCATTCTAATGCCACAGTGTCTTATATCACTGATAAATACTCCTAATATTCGTAGTAAAATTTTATAGTGCCATTCAAATTTATTCGGATTGCAAATGGAGAGCGGAGCGGGCCAACCGATTGGCCCCTCGGAAGGGTGTGACTTTGACACAATGAATGTACAAGGAGTACATAGGATCCACACCACAGAATGGAGCCATACAAATTTTATGTACTGCAAGAGTCAAGCGTCTCTAATCGTCTAATAACATCCACCCTAGAGCCGCATACATCGTCATCATCATTAGGAGAACCGACCAAGTGCGCCCTCCACCCCATCCGCCCTCTCTCCTCACGGCCGTATTTTAACAATGAGCGATGACATTTAATTAGAAAATGCGCAAAGAAAATTCCGCCATGGAATGAAGATATTAAATCATAACTTTTTTATATATATACATTCATTCATCGAGCGCACGACATGAGAGAGATGATGAGTTTGAAGGCCCAATTTTGTGGCTGTCGGAGTGAAAGAAAGAGGCACATTCCCAAAATATTAATATTCATTAAATTGTCAAATCGAAAGGTTCGAAGTGCGTGCAAGAGGGTGATGATGACGAAGAGAGAGAGAAGCGAGTCTCTGAGAAAATTTTACCAATTTCTCCACACTCTCTCAGCCGCCCGCCCAACTGCTTCGGCCCACCCACTCCCGAAGGCAACAATATGCAAAGTGTGTCTCCTTATTTATGGTTTTTTTTTCTCCTACACCTTCCCACCCAAAGACTCATAATGATATTTAAGGCAAAAAGGGAGGCAGGAAGATGATAAAAAAAAATCTATGATTAATGAAGTGTCCAGCACACGATGACGGTTTAAGACGAAGAGGAAGCAGTAATGGCATTTTGCAGGGGAAGTTATTTTAATCAGTTCCTCTTAAATCGAAATTCCGTCAGGTAGAAGGGACGACGAAGCGAGATGGAATGCCGTATAGAAGTCACTCTGCTGGGTTTCTATCCGAAGGACAACCCGCAAGAAATCCACAAAATTTACCCTCCAACGATTTGACCCTCATCTGAGATACTGTATAAGCAATAAAAATTGTATAATTATTTGAGGGGATGTCTCTTCTATCCGAAAATCATTCATTTTCTACTTATTCTCTGCTCTGTTATTCACCCCCCACGTGGCTTAGCGATGTTCCGTCCAAACCTCAGAAGAATTGTATGTGTGTCTTGTTAAACAAACGATCCCCCAGAATTGGAATGAGAATTATTTATAAGGTCTGTTATCTATATCTCGCTCGTTCGCCCAGGCAATACATCAATGTGGGCTGCTGGAGACAACACCGAAGATGGATGCATAAACAAAATTGGTGAAATCGAAAAAATATTGCAATACGAAATGGATACTTATTCATGATACTTAATTCGTTGAAAATACATCTAATATATCACGTTAAGGCTTGACTTATTCGGGATTGGTGTGAGGAAGATAAATAATATTTATAACTCACTATACATCACACATAGGCACATCCCTCTCACTCATCCACCCCCAAAGCGAAACACCCCCGAGAATATGATTTCCTTCACAGCGACTGTTTCTTTTTCATCACATAAACTTCTATATTGTGTTAAGTATTCCTTCCCTTTTAGCCATCAATATCCCGGCATTGTTCTAATTTTGTCAAAGTTCGACGAGCGCCTCAAAATCCAATTTATGCAATAGACTACAAGCTCAATCAGCTTCAAGTGGCGGGGCAGAGAAGACGAAAGATTAAAGTCTCTATATAGCTTCGCAAAGTTCATGCTTCTTTTCTTTCGTCTGCTCAATGCGCCTGCCGATACATAGTTTATGGAGAAACAAACTCAGTTGTTTCCGCTTCGAGCTCTAAGACATTTCATGTCAAAGACATCAGGAACTCGACTTCTCTTTCCTGTACTCAATGTTAGACTTTTTCCTTAGAAACTGCAAACAGAATCTCTAATCTTTAAGAAGCATTGCATTTAAATGAGCATATAAGAAATCACAGGATTTTTTTTTCTTATTTATATACAGAATATTATTTAAATTTTACAATTCCTGATTGATTGAAGTGATATCGGATGAATTTTGCTGATGATATCACAATTTCCAATACACTGCGTGTGCCAGTTTCAGTTAGGAAAGTTTTATATAAAATTCATACTGAAATTGACGCTTTTCCTTCATCAGGTGTACAGTAAAAAGTTAGACTCGACAAGTAATTACTATAATACATCCCAAAGACGTTATTTCAATATGAAATTTAATAAGAAGAATTTGCAACTTCAGAAACTTGTGCAAAACTATAATGAAATGTGATGAGACGTCAAATTGCATTTTCCATTGCGCCAGAAATCTTGTGTAAACAGTATAATTTTCTTTTCACAGCACTTATTATTGAAAATTTAATTAAATTTATTCAATATTATCAATAGAAATATTCAATTAAACTGCATTCACAGCAAATCAAAATCCGTCTCTTTTCACTTTGCCATATTTAAATTTCCCAGGATCAGAGAGTAAAGTGCAGAGCGAAGAGGAAAAGCAAATATTTGGCAAAATTGCTTCTTTGCATCCGATGTTTAAATTGTGGCATTCTGGTTTTATTATTGAATTGCGCCAGAGTGTTTGTAAGTCGGGGAAAAAGTCCATGAAATCAATATGAGCGGCATTTCGTGGTTGAATCAACAGAACTGTGCCACCACCCAAAACTTCCTACGCCCGTCAATTGGGCCGACACTTTACGCCACAGACAGATTCCGATCTCCCCTATGAATTAGAGAATTAATCTTTAGGGACTTTTCTCCAAAATTCAGCCTAATGGGAAATTCCAGTGCAGAAAGTTAGAGGCTCAGTCGAGTGGTGATATCTGGCAGGGAATCAATTGGGGTGAACCAGAGTCACAGGGCTGTAAATCAATTAATCCGTACCTCACAGTCCATCTGAGTGTTCGCCTTTAATATCGGCACCCCCCTCGCCCGTCCGGGGCGCCCTGATGGATGCGAGCGAGGGAGGAAAACCTCTTGGCCCGAGTGGAGTACCATCGAGGAGAGACACACGAGAAAAAATCCACAAAACTCTGTCGGTCGTATTCAAGTGAGGCCATTAGTGAAATCAATTAATTTGTGTGGAAAATGCTGACTTCATCCCTTTCACCGACTCTCTCTCTCTATCTCTCCTCGCTGCCCTCCGCTCCAGGCGAGTGGGTGGCCTCGGGAGCGCGACAATGGGGCCACAGAGAACACATCATACACTACAATAGTCGTAGATTAAGATCGTTTGTTGGTCAGCGCACAATTTGAGCAGTCGAGCAGCATCGAATCTTGGCGCAGGAAGTGCCAAGGAGGAGTTGCGGGGTGAAGCAAAAAAAAAAATGGGGATGCGGCAAAAGTGAGGAGGAAAAACAGCTTAGGAGACTCTGCGCTTTCTCTCCTCCCCCACCCAAAAAAAGAGGGAAAGAGTGTGACGGAGAAGAGGAGAGAGAAAAAAAATGTATGAAAATAAAATGGTACAAAATAGCTGAGATCATCAATAAACTCCAAAATGACGACACACACACACACTCATCGATTTTCTTCTCTGCCAGTGGAAAATGGACTGGAAATTTTTCCTCAACGAAATTTCATTCTCGTTTCGAGTCGAATTTCACCCAGCATTGCTTCAGTATAAATCCCTTAGCATCCAGGACAGCGAGAAAAAACCACCCCATTCCAGACACACCTTACTTCTCTCAACAATCCACTTTTCCACCTCTTGCACCCGCTTGGCAAACTTTCACACAATTCACCTCAAATCAATGTCTGGAGGAGCGCGCGTCGACTGGCTTAATCAGACACAAAATGCCGTGGTTTTTTCGGCAACCCACCCCGAAAGTCCATGCAATTAACAGTACAATTCAACTTCATTAGTGAGAGGCAGCAGAGCCAGAAAGATAGAGGGAGAATTTAATATGACGGCGCAACCCCTTCACCCACAACAGCCCCAGTGCTATTTACATTAAATTCACAACTCACAGAGAAAATGGAAAAAGTTGACGGGAAATTCGTAGATATTCTCTCGATTATACTCCGCGTCGTCTTCAAAAGTTGCCGCCCAAAAAAACACCAGCGATGATGGAAGGATTCCACTACATTCCACCCCGAATTATCAGTGATTTTTCCGCACACTGGCAACTTTTCCACCCCAGAACACACGCGCCGATGCCCTTGAGCACAATGCGAAACATCCACTCGCCACGGCACTTCTTTTACAACTGCGGAGTCCATCTGTGGGAAATTGCCAAGAGTCACCCGAAGTCACACATGCCATTCATGCGGGAGAATCATCACCCCGCCAGCATGGAATGCAGGGGTGGCGGTGGTGAATATCCTCAAGAGGGGCGGCTCTTCCAACAGCCCCACTCTCACAGACACACACTTCCCAGAATCACCCCTCACAGACGAATTGATAAAGGGAAAAATAGGGATAAGCACACACCTCGCATGTCCTTATAGGCACCTGAGATTTGCTAGTTTTCTTCCCTGATATGTTATTAAAAACTTTGTGATGTTTTCGTTTTTAAAATCTAATGCAAATACACAATTTATTTGCCGAGATACGAACAAATAATAAGAGATTTGTAGAATTTGATGGTTTCGGTTCGCGCTCTTTTTCTCAGCGATCGCTGCGCCTCATTGCGGCTAGAATCTTTAACTTGTTTTATGAACGCTTTTATTCTGAATTCAATTCTTACAAAAGGGAAATTCATGATATTTTGATATTAATTCAGTGAATGGAGTCTCGGAAGTTGTATCTTAGAAAAGGTCCTCTGTTTCCTTCCCGCTTGCGGAAGTGTCGGTCTGCTGAGCTTCCTCGCGATCGGAAGAAGCCACAGAAATCACCTCTGAAATTTCGTCAATAGCTTCCTGGGCTTGTTCCTCGCGCTCTTCCTCTTCATCGTCTGACTCAAGGACTATCTTCTCAAGTCTCTCGACCTCCTCTTTGAACTTCTTCTCGAAGTCCTTGACTTCAGCGAGCTTTGCCTCTATCTTGTCTGCAAATTCCTCAAAAGCGCGAACGTCCACCGGCGGCTTGTCATCGAAATCGTCGTAGTTTATCAAATTGACTGAAAAAAAGACACAAATATCAGAGCAGGAAAGCTGGGAATTGAGATGACTTACGCTGGCCCGCTAATTTGCAACTTTGCTTGTAAATTTTCTTCAGCTCTGAATTGCGCTTCTTCAACTTCTGCAATCTTTCCTGAGCCATTTTCTCGTACGCTCTGAGAATTCTCATTCGCTGCTCGTGCGAAGTTTCCGGCGACTGCTTTTGCGGCTTGATCATCTCTTCGCTTACTTACTTCCGTCAAGAATGGAGAATTCACGAAGAAATCGGTGAAATAATGGACAAACGGAAATAAAACCCAGGCACAAAATGACGATGAAAGTGAGGTTGGAAAGCACCGGAAGCAAAATGTGAGAAACGTGAGAAACCTTTCAATTACTGGCGTCGCTGCAAATCGAATCACGTCAGAAATTTCAGAGGACATTTTCCGGAATCGTCCGATGAGGATTCTTCTCAACATAAATTTTAGAGATTTGCGAACGAAGTTGAGATTAATTTGCCAAAAATTTGTCTTTTCAACATGATTTTTTATTTGGAAATTACTTAAAGGAAAATTTGAATTCTGTGTCTGTTAAACATATGTAACAATTCCTCCTACTTAGTTTCTGGATTTGGTCATTTTGGCTTCCTGAAGCGATAACAGTTCGTGGTTGTAATGTAAATTCCAGCTACTAACATAATAAAAGCACATTCGTGACTATTATCCTGGTATGACCTCAAAATGTCGATATTTCATCAATAATTTTAGTGAAAAATTGAGCACACAATAATCATATTCAGCTCAGGAGTTTCAGCATTCACATATTTCACCCCAAAATCCCCATTTTCCCAACATTTCCTCGAATTGCATTCACCACGCAAATATTGCTGTGAAGATACTTCCGCTGTGTCTACCTCCTAATTGGCGCGTCAATTAAAACGATGCTCTGGCTTCCATTTCGAGGATATTTCTTGTGAAACTTGATAAATCCCACACAATATGTGGCCAATTAACACTAAACTCATGACAATTAGAAAGACTGTCGCTTCTCAATAAGTCAAACGGAGAGAAAAGAGAATGAAATGCAGCAAAACTCGAGGTTAGACGTTGAACTCGAGACGCAATTTTGTAGTTCTCGCAATTCTGAAAGTTTCTGGATGAAGCCATATTAAAGGGTAGCTTTTAAAGAGTTGATGAAGTAACTTTACTGAGAACAATCCCACAAATATAACAACAGTGGACAGTAAACCGCAATTTTTGTTGCAAATATTCTTTAAAAATATATGAAATTAATTTCTCTTTTAACATTTTATTTCAATGGTATTTGTCACTAAATCCGAAGACACATGAATATGACAATTTTAGTGCATAACGAGATACTTAACATAACTTATAAATCCTTTCGTCAATGTGAATCAATCAAAATTTAATTACAGCTTTAACAATACTTACGAAAATAAATTTCTGCGGCATCAAATAGGCACTTTTTCTTGCTATTTCTTCATCAACACTAAATTCACAAGTTGAACTTCTTGCAAACTACCCGCTAAATGTCCGCCACCGTTTAAAATGCTAATTCGTCGTCGTAAACTTGAGGTATTTCTCACCCTTTGTGGGCCACACTTTGAAGTAGTGCTGCCTGAGCCACTGTGTCAGAGCTGTGTAATCCTTGTCCTTAGCTTCCTGATACGATAAATCCACCCGCGGAGTGTTGGCAGGCGTAAAGATGGTCGTGTAGCGGTCAAACAGGGCACCCTTGGCAATTAATAGCCTCGCGACGGGGGTTTTCAGCTTCTTCCGCGTGACACCTTGACGCCTTCCCGCCACAGCCACCTCGTGTGGCCGCTCCGGCACTCGACTCCACACCACACTGGCCGGACACGGCTGACACTGGTCGTGCGATGGGTGTCGGATGAAGGGAAAGGCAAAGTGTTCCGTCGCCACGAGGACATCCGGTCGGTGGATGTGAAACGTGGCCGAAGGGATGACGAGATGATTTGTGAAACGACCCCAGAGAGCACGCTCGGTGGCTTTTTTGTCAAGAATCGCGTCCCGCGGATAAATCACACTGCTGAGATAAATGGGTGAGGTCAGGACATTCATCAGGAGTCCACCCTGGAGGCCCATCACACACCACCTCGCCATTTTGTCACTGCACGAGGCCGACAGCGTGGCCACTCCGCGGCCCGGCTTCGTCCTCACACAGCCCACTGTCTGGTCCATGAGATCCCCAGTCGACTGCCCAATCAATTTCCCACCCGTGAAGTTATCCTCGGGCAGTCTGGCTCTCTTGGCAGCCGGCTCGTCCTCCACGTTCTCCTCCACCGTCGCTGGATTTCTGGGGAAAATACTAGCATCTCCACAGGGCGAGTGGGTTGTGAAAAAGTGAAATTTACACTCTGTCTGCAAACTGAATTTCCCACTTTCACCATCAATTGCGAAGATGCTGCGCTTCTTCTCCCTCGCCAGCACCATTTGCTCCATGAGATACCGCAAAAACGCCCTCCTCGTGACAATTTCTGCATGGCTATCATTGAGAACATCCCCAGATTCACTCATCTGGTCCGCACCGAGACACTTTGTTCCAGTTCCCATCGACACAACGTCCAGTTTACTGTCCATTTCCTGCACTATTGCACTCAAGACCGTCCACTCACGCTCACTCACCGGTTTCCCGCCCTTCGGGAGATTTCGCTCGAAGAACTCCACACACATTCTGGTCACATCATTCGCAATCATCGTGCCCAGAGAATTCAATGCCGCAGCACTTAAGGATTAGTTGATGTTTGCCGGATTCCACGCATACTTCTCGCGAACACTCATGCTGCTGAGGATTCTCATGTCATCCTCCGGAATGCTGAAGTCAAGAGCAATATTCTCCTCCACGTGATGCTGTGAGCGCGCCTTGGGAATCACTCCGATGTCCTTCTGAGTGGCCCAACGAAGGAGTATCTGGAAATAGAGAGAAGAATATAGTTTTCTTCTCATTTGCTCTTGTCTTTTCCATTAAGATTCTTTCTTAAACTTTACTCAAAGCAAAACATTTTCTCTACATTTCTTCCTGTTTCTGAACGGTTAACACAGATATCACAGCTAACAGAGAATATTGCGAAGTAGGAAATCTGTTTTCTCATGATCCATCACAATCATTCTGCCTTTCCTTCTCAGGGAAGTTCATCAAATTCATCACACTGAATAAACTTCATTTGCACTGAACAAACTTTAAGATCAGTTTGATGATGCGTTGGAATGAAGACTTCTCAAGTTAATGTGTATTTAACTAATTGATGTAGCACAATTATGCCAAGAATTTTGGGATAGAAATCACTCACAGAGACTCAATCTTCTCCAATAAGATCAATAAGAGTGAGAAAACTCATTTAGACTTATTCTAATTCGAATTATTATCCATCAGAGCAGCTCACCTGAGAGCCAGTTTGGCCAAGCTTCTGAGCCACTGACTGGACAACAGGATCCAGAGTAAGAGATCCTGTGCCGCCGCCCAAGGATGAGTACGCTTGCAGGAAGATGTTGTGCTGCTGGCAGAAGCTCAGCAGCTCCGCTGAGTGATGATGTGGATGCCACTCCACTTGGTTGACAGCCGGCGGAATCCCGTGAGACTTTTCCAACAGCTCACTCAGGTGTCTCTCCAGGTAGTTTGACACGCCAATGGAGCGCAGAAGTCCCTTCTTCTGCGCACTGACAAGCCCTTTCCACGCGATGTCGCGATACTTTGCGTTCTCAGGACTGTGCATAGACACACCCCGCGCTGCTGGCCAGTGAATCAGGTACAGATCAATGTAGTCCAGCTGGAGTTTACTCAGCGAAGCCTCAACTGTTGCCAGCACGTAATTCTCTTCCTCTCTGGCTTCCGGAATAAACTTGGAAGTGACGAAAATGTCTTTCCTCGTCAAATTGTACTTTGGCAAAAGCACTTTCAGGGATTCTCCGATTTGGGATTCATTCCTGTACACCGTAGCTGTGTCGATGAGGCGATATCCGGATGATAAGGCGTAATCCAGGGAGTTGTGAAGAATGCTTGCATCGGTGATTGTGTAAGTTCCTACTGAGAAAGTTTAATTTGTCTAATTTAACCATTTCCTCGGGATTTTCTGCTGAACACTTACATCCAATCAAGGGAATGTGATGCCCAGAATTCAGGAGAACAGTTTTCCTCGCACAGACACTCATTTCTCATGCAAAACCACGCTTTTATTTGGGATATAATTTAGGGCCAAAGAGCAACAATTTGTTGTGATCAGCTGACACGAATCTTCCCCAAAAAACTGACAGTCAAATTCAAATTTGATTCTCCTGCAGAAATTGCTGCAGAAGATTCACCTCAATGGGAATGCTCAGATACTCTCCACCATCGATGCCCTGCTTCATCTTCACGACTTCGTGGTCCAGGAGCTCCGTGAGTTGCGCCCGCAGCGCCAGATCTGAGCTCACGAGGAAAGCCTCACGACTGGCGCTGTAGAGATCCTTGAATTGCATCCCCGGATAGTTGGAGTTGCCGCGACTTCCGAGCTGCTTCCGCACGATCAGCATGAAGACACCCTTGGCATTGGTCGTGAGCGATTGGAAGACGCTCCTCAGCGACGACAGAGCCAACACGCCCGAGTTCTGGACCATCAGGGAGTTCTCGTAGGCCGTTTCCTCCGTGTAGGGCAGCATTGAGGTGACATCCCACCAGGTGAAGTTGAAGTTGCTGAGCTTGGAGTGATCCCACAGCAGGGCAGTGTTGATGTGATCAATGGAAGCGATGAGGTGCACGTTGGAGATTCTGGCCAGTTGACTCATGACACTCTGAGCTTTGCTATTTCTCAGCATCGCACCGTCGAGATTGTGAACTATGAGGAAGATGTGCGTCTCAATCTGCCTCTCGATCAGCTGAACCGCTTCGTGAGGACACGTGGGCACCGAATCCAGGTCCAGAATGTCGCAAATAATACTGCTCAGGATGTCTTTGATGGTGAGACTGGGAAAGAAGCCATTTACAACGACAACTTGCTGATCTTGCAGCATCTCTTGGTGGAATTCACTCATGATGTTTCTCTTGGAGCCCAATCCGTACAGCAAGATGTTGAATCCCTCACTCAAAGTGCACAGCCACTTCCTGAAGAAGCTCTTGTACTCATTCTGGAGCTCTTTTATGGCCGTCTCGTGCGCTTCTGGCAGCTCAACGATGTCCAGCAGCTTCATCATCTCCGCATGTGGCAATCGAGGAGTCTTCAAGCGATCGAGTGTGTGATCAGATGTCAGGGACTTTCCCTTGGCAGAGTGACTGGTGAAGTAGTTGTCACTCTTGAGGCAGTACTGAGCCTCAGTGTTGCTCCTAAGATTGCGTCTTCTCGTGGACACTGACGGAGTTATGGGATCTGTGAGAATTTCAACCTTTCGCGTATTCTTCCTCTTCGGCGTCTTCGGCTCATCTTCCGTAGAACTGGAAAGACTAGACTCTGTTTCAGATTCCCCACTGGATTCCTCACTCTCTTCGTACTCCGATGAACTTTCGACTATCTTGGAGAGTTCTGCAAATGAAAAAGCATCGGATTTTAGAGATTTCAGAAGAGATTCAGAAGCCTTGCTGTTCATTACTTCTCTTGATTTTCGCACGAATATGTTGCGGAGTTTTGCCCAGCTGTGTCTCCTTCTGCACTGCACTCCTCCTGCCAGTGCCTGGTGTCCTGGACGCTTGAGGAGTCGAGGATTTTGGTGTCCGGGGCGATGCCACAGCATTTGTCGCCATCAGAGACATGGCATTTCTCTTCTTGGGCGTTTTGAACGTGTAAATATCACCACCCTCGACGTCTTCAGCCTCGTCAAAGAGCTCACTGGCTTTCGCGACGTTCTCCTTGATTGGCGAGTCCAGGCACAACACGGATATGTCACAATCCTCGAGGATGGAATCCTTAGACTTCCCCGAGTTCCCAGAACGATCTGTGCTTGACGATATGTCCTCCGAGAAGTATCTTCTGTTGGGAGTTCGATGTCTCAACGACCGCCGAATGGGCACGTCATCTGAACTGCTACTATTCCTATCGCTGCACATGTTCAATCAGGAAGTAGACGAGGAAGAGTATCGAATAACACACACCCGGAACTGCTGCACTCGATTGAGGTTATGATTGTGGCGGGAATTTTGACTGTCACGCCAGTTGTGGATGTCAAACTCCGCATTCGGCCATCATTCGACTTTTGGGTCATTTTCCCATTGCACGCCGAGCGGATAAGTTGCAGACGCGTTTTATTCCTCTTAGTTTTCCTGTGAAAAAAGTCCTTTTTAGCTAGAAATTCGGGCGAGAAGAGTCACGAAAGTGTCCACTGTTCCTCTTAGATTGTCCTGCAACACACGGAAAGATGGTTTTCGGTGAGTATGGGGAGAAAAGCGGCAGTCATGGGTGGCGCACCACGTGGGGCCTCCGGTCTTCCGGCAGAACCTTGAAAGTTTGCTTCTCGAGGGGTTTCCCAGTAATGTTGCAATGCTCTTTTAACAGGACTGGTGCTCACGCCCAACAAGAAGTATTCGCAGACGGTGGAGAAGGATTATCAATTGACCAACGCCGCCCTGGATCTGAAGTCATGTGGCGCAGAGGCGACGCAGCTGATGGTCACCGTGGACAAGAACACGTTCCTCCTCTGCACACTATCCAAGGACAAGCCACAGCATCCGCTGGACTTGCAGCTGTCGCAGGGTGACAAGATCGCCTTCTGCAGCATCGGCAGCGGCACCATTCATCTGGTGGGCTACCTTCATCCGGACGATCCTATGGGGGACTTTGGCGACGCGGGAGATTCGGACGTGTCTGAGGAGGAGGACGAAGAGACAGAAGTGCCGAATCTGGTGCCGATTGAGGGCAAGAAGGAGAAGAAAACCAAGGCCGCCAAGGCTGAAGCCCAGAAAGACAGTGACGATGACGAGGATGAGAGCGATGACGATGATTTTGAGATGGATGACGATGACATTGAGGGCGAGGACAGTGGCGAGGAGGAGCAGGAGGAGGACAGCGATGAGGATGACGAGGAGGAGAGCGAAGAAGAGTTGGAGCAGCCACAGAAGAAAATGAAGACGGACAAGCAGCAGCAGCAAAATGGTCTTGAGAATGGCGTCGCCCAGAAGAAGGACAAGAAGCAGCAGAAGCCCGAGACGAAGGGTGCCAAGGAGCCCCAGCAGAAGGCCGGCAAGAAGACAGTGCTGCAGGGAGGCGTGATGGTGGAGGAGCTCAAAGTGGGCGATGGTCCTGAGGCGAAGCAGAATAAGAAAGTTGTGGTAAGTCCTGAAAGTCATGCGCCAGAAGTCTTCGAGACTCTCTAACGTTGATCTATCTCTTCGCAGGTTTACTACGAGGGCCGCCTCAAGTCCAACAATAAAGTGTTCGATTCGTGCAAGGCCGGAAATGGCTTCAAGTTCACTATCGGACGGGGAGAGGTGATTCGCGGCTGGGAAATTGGTGTGGCGGGCATGAAGATGGGCGGTAAGAGGAGGATTACCTGCCCTCCGAAGATGGCGTATGGCTCCAAGGGATCTCCACCTGTTATTCCGCCCAACTCAACGTTGGTCTTCGAGGTGGAGCTGCGACAAATTAAAAATTAGAAGTTTTATATATATTTTTTCATTCGCTTAAAAAACCGTTTCACATTATAAGAATTACAGCCAATAATTTTGAAGTAAAGATGGACAACTAAAAGAGAAACAGCGTGTGTTTATCTTTTCTGGGCTTAACAGGCTTGTTTACATTCATCGTCGTGGTTTTAAATTGCTTGAAATGCCTAAAATTTGATGCGGTGATAAGACATGAACGGCAAGATCAGCAAAAACTACGCCTCCGTGGCGCAATTGGCTAGCGCGTTCGGCTGTTAACCGAAAGGTTGGTGGTTCGAGCCCACCCGGGGGCGACTTTTTTCTTTTAAAAAGAACCTAAAGAACAATAAAATCGAGTAAAAGAAGCAGATTTTAAAAACTTATTAATTACATCAATAATTGTTTCTTTTCTTATTAAATTTGACAAAAAAAAATTCATAATAATCCTCTACAACTTATTAACAATATTATTTTCTTTAGTAGATAATGCGCAATAATAAATCTTGTCACTAATTTTGTCTTCTGAGAAACCTCTTCAATTCCTCATTTGTTGTGTTTACAAGTAAACTCGTGGTTTTGTTTGCTCCGCAAAGAGCGTATAATCCTGAAAGTACGTGGAAAAATGAGTAAGAATCTGAAGAAATATATTCTCTGGTTTGCCCAGGAGCACGTGAACTTCCGTTATCCGGTAAAAACAGCCCGTTTTGAGATCATCACGAATTGAGGTTAAGTAACCAGAGTTGTTCTCTTTCAGGAAATCCAGTCAATCTTCAAGCTGTTCAACATTTGTCCGAATTTGAAGAAGCCAGAATGTCCAGAAGTAGCTAGAGAACTTCCTTATCCAAGTCTTTTGGCATGACTTTGTGTTCTTTCTCCTCTGCAGCATCCTTTCTGGGTCGTCGACCTTCCGGACGAAGAGTCAGCGCGGAAGATTGCATCGCGCTCCGTGTCTCTGCGGTGTATTCTGGAGCTGTGGGCTCACGCGACGAGCGTTCCCGTGATGCACAAGAACGTGCAGAGTCTTATTGAGCAGAATCCTCAGTGGAAGGAGACGATATTCCACAAGAACTCCTCCTTCAAGATTACCGTTGAGACGTACAACAAACACATCAGTCAGGCTGAGAAGTTGCAGAAGATCGAGACATTTCAGTACATTCCCACGTCTGGAGAGGTGAATCTGAAGAATCCCGATGTCCAGTTCATGTACTTCGAGTTCTACGGTCTGGATCCCACGAATGTGCCTGCAGAGCCTGACAATGCCTTCTTTGGGCGCTGGATTGCGGACGGAAGACGCAGTGATCTGAAGGAGTTGTCCCTGAAGCGACGCAAATTCATCGGCAACACCTCCATGGATCCTCAGCTGTCCACCCTGATGGCCAATCAGGCCCTGACTCGCGAAGGAGACCTCATTCTCGATCCCTTCGTGGGAACTGGTTCTCTCCTGGTCAATGCGGCAAAATTCGGGGCTTTTGTCCTCGGCACAGACATCGACTTCCTGATGCTGCACGCCAGAACGCGTCCGTCACGGATAAGGCAGAAGGAGCGTGAGAAGGACGAGTCGGTGAGGGCGAATCTGATGCAATACGGCTGCCAGGACAAGTATTTAGATGTCTGCGTGGCGGATTTCTCACTGCCCATCTGGAACAGTCACTTGAGGCTCGATGCCATCATCACGGATCCTCCCTACGGCATCCGGGAGGCCACAGCCAAGGTGGCGCCCAAGGAAGCGTCGGAGAAGAGGACTCCTTCGCCGCCACCGCCGGGCGTTTTTCACTGTCCATCGCGCTCGCGATACGATTTGAAGGACATCTTCAGGGACCTTCTGACTTTCGGGGCGCGCCACCTGAAGCTGGGCGGACGTCTTGTGTGCTGGCTGCCTGTGATCCGCGATGAGTACACTGACAGCGTCCTTCCCAGTCATCCCTGCATGGCGCTGCTGGCCAATTCCGAGCAGATCCTGAGCAAGTTCAGCGCCAGGCGCTTGCTGACCTTCGAGAAGATCACAGAAGGATGCGACGCGGCAGATGGCGAGAGTTCCGGGGCGCAAGTGGACTTTCGGCACAAGTACTTCAGCCACGGCGAGGAGACGCGCGAGGAGCGCCGGCTGCAGAGGGCGCAATTGAGACAAATTGGCCGCGAAGAGGCGGCAAAGAGACGCAAAGAGGCGCAATAGTTAAATAAAAAGCTCACTTTTTTCAATTTTCTTATCCTCTTTTTTTTTATTAGTCAATATTTTTCATTTCATAATAATGTACGTATTAATATTCTTTTCTTCATTTTTTTTCTCTCAAAAATTTCTAATCATCTTTCAGCAAATTATTTTTAGTCTCTTCGAAACTTACAAATATTTATATTCATCATCTGGCATTCGATTTGAATTCCGATAGATTCTCATCGATCATAAAATGGTTTTTTTTTTCAATAGTTTTTAAAGTGTTCATAAATTTTTTTTTTACTTCCTCTGACTTTTTTTTCAAACACACTGAGAAGACAAATATTTTTTCAAAAGGGTTTCCATTTTTTTTAAATAGTTGTTTTTTAATATTCTTAAGATTCTAGTCGCTTTTTTTCATTTCCCCTCGTAATTTAGTTGTTTTTTTTCCATGAATTCCGAGAAGGAAATAAATTTCCCCGTGGCGACAGATTTTCTCCACTTTTCACTCCCTCAAATATTTCTTTTTAATCACTAATAATTCATTTTTTTCTTCTTTATGAGATAAATACTAAATATGTATACAAGTAAAATCTTTTTTCAACATCTCTATTTTATATCAATTTTTTTTTAAAGTTGTTTCTTTTCATCAAAATCTCTTTTCATGGGTTTTTTCCGCATCTTTTTCTTCCCTTCTTCTTCTTTCACTAAATTTGACACAAATATTCTCACATGATATTTTCTTTTTAATCTTTGTTTCTGCTGTTTTTTTTATTTATTCTTGTGTGTGTGTGTTTCTTTTCGATAAAGTAATATTTTTTATTAATCGTTATTTTCCAATTATACAATCGTTATCAAAATGTTGTTTCATTCGTCCTACTAAAATAAACTCACTCTTCATGTCTTTTGCCCCTTAAATATTTGTAAATTTCACGCTATATTTCCACCTTATTTTTGTGTTGGCCTGACAGTCAAAAGGATTAATAATATTTGTGCAAAAAAGATAAGAAAAATGAATGAAGATCGAGAGGAGATTTCTAAAATATTTTCTCTTGCTGGTTTTTTTTTCCTCTATTTTCCTCTACAGTAAAAAATAGTTGTCCAAAAAGTTTCACTCTTGATTCTCTTCATGATTTTTTTTTAGCAGATTCTCTAATGTTGAATGGATTTTTTCTTTCTTTAAAATCTAAATAGATTTTCTGAGATTCCTTTCGAGATGGTTTTTTCTTCATTTTTCTTTTTTAATGTATATTTCATATTGCGATTTTTTTATGCATATTTATAACATAATTTTTCTCTTTTTTAGTTTTAGTATTCATTTTCTTCTTCATCTTCTTCTTTAAGTGTATCATGGAATGTAAATATATTTGTTATCAATGTAGTTTTTTTTTTAAAGTGATTTACAATGCGATTTCTATTCCTTATGCATGATCCTTAAATAACGTTCTTCCTCACTAATTATACCGTCGTCTATTGTTAAGTATGTCCATTTGCTTAGAAGCTATCAGTGGCCATTTCATGAAACTTAAGGACGCTTTTTTTTCATCTTAAGTAATGCAGTGTTTGTTTTGTGTTAGTTATGTAAGTTTCACCACCGTTCTGCCCTCACAAATTACTCTATATGTCAGTGTGTTTTCTTTATATACTGCGAAGGGGGAAAAGAATATCAAAGAATCCAATAAGAGACAAAGTGTAATTATCACGAGACGCTGAAGTCAAAGCAACTGCATTATTTTACTTTAAGTAATCAACCGTCCCAAAAGTACAGATTATTGGCAAAAAGTTGCTTGTTTTGTGTGTGATTCTATTGCATTTTATCTACAGTTTTCATTGTTTGTAAAGCCATTTTTGTGCAAACACCCAAAATCAGCCACTCAGCATTTTTCTTTTTATACTGTTAGTGTGTATGTAGCGCAAGAGAAGCCGTAATTTAAGATGAAATTAATTATTCGAACTTGCTATATTTATATATTTACAGAATGAAATATCTGTTGTGCCTTTTCACGTGAGATTATTGACAAAATTCTTCCTACAGAGGATCATTATTATTATTTCCTTTTTAATAATCCACTCACTTTCGTTTCGCATTTCACTCTCTCTCTTTGACAAAACTTGGTGACTTTTTCCTCAGTAAAGTCTTCGAGCACTCTCTTGTTGAGACTCACTCTCTCACTCTCTCTCTCTCTACAAATAATTTCACTAAATATATCTAACAACAGGTGTGAAATGACTTTACTATCTAAAAAAAAAAAGATCTAATTTCCGAAAAAGTGTCTCATCGAATTTGTCCTCTTGAAATCTCACACAATGCATTGAAATGCGATTCTCTTTATGGACTAAATTTGACTCTTCGAGTCACAAACTCACACTCAGAAGACAATTCCGATAAAATTCACCATTTCTCCTCCCACACACATCTTAGTCAGCCACTTAAAAACAAACACCCTAAGACATAAAACCTATAAAAGAATCTTACTGACAATGAACAGTCATAGTGAATGATGAATGAGAGATGCGATGTTTGACGAATGAAGGAGACGTGCACTGAACCACAGCAGATTTTCCACAATTCCATCTTGCTCTCATCTCTTTCCTCATTTTCCTTTCCTCTCTTTTTTCATTTTCATTTTAAATACTAGTCTCATAGTAGTAGTAACAGTAAATTAATTCCTTTTGTACTGGAAACACTTTAGAATTGAACAATATTGCAGTGTCCGCGGTGACGTGGGTCAGGGACGATGACTGGGATGAGGAAGAGCGCTGCCAGGAGTTGCTGTGAGTCGGTGTGACACAAATGGATGTCCGGACAAAGGAACTCACACACGCTCCCTTGTCCACCATCTTCTTCTGCACCGTCAGCCAATGGAGCATCCGTGGGTGGCGGGCGAATGAGCCAGTTCTTCCCTCAGTCACGCCACCACCATCTTCATCTCTCTTCACAACACCAGATGAACTCTCTCGTGATCTCTCACAATTCCTCCATCTAAGCGCCACACGACGATTGTGCTATCAGCTCTGACTAGGCAAGAGAAGGTGTTCCGGTATAGGAATCGGCTGAGTCCTCGGTGGCTGCTTCTTCTGCAAAGATAAGGACACAAACACAGTGTTTTTGTCACTTTCCATCAAAGCGCGCGTCACTTCATTAATAGCATATATACTTTGCTGTTTGAGAAACTTTCTGACCAATCAACGGAGAATTTTACTCCATCGTGAAATCTCACACAAGAAAGCTAGAAGAATTATGCAACATTTGCTCTCTTAGTGTTTAATTTTTAAAACCATCATACGAAATAACACGCAAAATACTTCTATTATGATTAATTCAACCATTCATAATCCAGTGAGAGCAAGTTTCATCCAAAACCTCACACTTCTTTCCAGAATACTGAGGCGTTTTATCAGCTTTTTGCAATATTAGAGAAAATCCTACCGCTAACGTCACAATATATTGTATATACATCAATGAAGAGTGGACCTTGAGTAAATGTGTTGTTTAGTGCTAAATATTTGACGCTATCAACGTTAGAAATCAACAAATTGTGAAATTTCCTGCAAAAGATTTATTACATTTTCTTTAAATTTCATGAAATGCATTTGAGTTACATCGTTTGTAAAACACAGACACACACTCGATAGAGTTTGAAATGTGCTATTGAATCATTCAGAAAGTCCTCTTGTCGACTCAATAAAAGCCTCTCTCGAGAGACCACCACGAGTGGCACAAGACATCTCTCTCTCTTGGTCAAGTGAGCATGAAATCGCTCGGAAACATGGCTTCATGAATAAAAGATGCATCTCTTATTTCACATATGCGCGGTGAGTTTGATTTCAAAACTTATCATACTAATTAGTTTTGCTAAATTTATGAATTATCACTGCATTTGTGTGATTACACTGAAGAGAGAGAGAGACACTTTTCTGCAACATTTGTGGCACATTTTGCCCTTCCAATTATTGCACAATGCACAGCCAACCAGCCAACAACAGTGGCACTTCTTGCATGCGCGCGGAATTTTTACCATGGAAGGTCGTACAATACAGAGTGATTTAATCTGAATCTCAAATAAAACGTGAATTTTGCAATGAAACACGAGCAAATAAATCAATTAGAGCGTCAGATGTCGAGTTAACTTCGCTTGGAAGTTAAGTGAGTTAAGTTGGCACAGAAAAAAAAGTCAGCCACATCAGGATAGAGAAGTGGACAATTTATTTAATTTTAGGAATGATTGAAACTCACCTTTCTCCTAAACGGAAAACAACTGGACTTCTCCACTGTGGGCGGTGCATTTAGGAGCAAATCTGGCGTTGGATTCTCATTTGGTGCAAAGACATTCAACTCCCTAAAGCACTCCGTCTCGATCATTTCATTCTGCCATGAAATCGACACAGAGCCAGTGTTGAATTTTGTGTAGAAATTCTCATCTGATGCATCAATATTCACACCCTTTACCGTTGAGAATTGCTCAATGTCAAGCACATCTTTGGCATAAACAGCATGTGGCTATACGAGGCGAGATGAGAGGAGAGAAAGCGTGAGACATACAATATATATATACATACAAGTTGCACATTGGCAGAGAGGACAGATAAGTAATAAACATGATTTCTCTTACATCAGGCACAAAAGGCGGATCGACCATTCCCGCCTCCAGACGCTTCCAGTTGATTATGTTGAAGAAGGGATGCAATTTCACTTCACGCGCACCATATCGACCATTGCGGCAGCCGAGACGTGCCTTCACAGATTTCATAAGTAATTGTTGGCATAAGGATTTCGCATCATCACTAAATTTATGCGAGTATTTTTCAGCGTCCTCCTATATTGGGCATCATAAACAACAATCATGTGAGATGTGAGGGTGGAATTTTCGGGTAGATATACACCCACAAATTTGATTAAAATCAGAGTTGACGCCACATAGTTGATGGTATTAATAGATCAAGGATAATACAATTGTTCTGTATCGAAATATGGACAAATTGAGCTGTAAAAGTCATGAAACTCTTGCCGTAAAGTACACAGGAATGTTTATCAGTGAATTCCTCAATATCTCCATCATCAATCTATGCTGCAATCAACTCTGGCAATGTAGTTTATACTCACTTTAACTCTCCTATCGACCTCTTCGCGCTTCACTTTCTCCTTTCGCGCCCTAAACGGAGCCTGCCCCTCGATCATCTCATACAGCAAGCACCCAAAGCTGAACCAATCCGGCGAGAAAGCGTACTTGTCGTTGTCTATCACCTCGGGCGCCATGTAGCCCACCGTTCCCACGCGCCCCCTCACCATCTCCCCCTCGGGAATCTCCACGGCCAGACCCAAGTCTGAGATCCTCACATGCCCATGATCATCCAGCAGGATGTTCTCCGGCTTGCAGTCGCGATACACGATGCCCTGCTGATGGAGATGCTCCAGGCCACACACCACCTCGGCACCGTAGAAGCGCGCCCGCGTCAGCTCGAATCCCGGCTCGCCGCCCATATTGTAGATATGGAACTTCAAATCACCACCTAAAGCACAGCACACCAACCGAAAGAGAAAGAGGGACGACAAGAGGAAAATATAGCGCATTAACATCAAATTGAGAAGCAATTACCCTTGAAATTGTCTTCAAAATCATCCAACCCACCGTTCATAATGGTGAGCACGAGACACAGGGCATCCTTCGTCTCATAAGCATACGCCAGATTGACGACAAAGCGCGAATTGATTTTCTGCAAAATTTGCTTCTCAATCAACACCATACTTTCACCTTTGCGCTTCTTTATTCGCTTCTTCTCCAGCTTCTTGCATGCGTACATCTTCCCAGTTGCACGTACCTTGGCAGATTGAGAGAGAGAGGGAGAGAAAGGAGAGAAGCAGAGATGTAGAGAGGTAAAAAACAACATAGTGCAAGTTAATAAGAGGAATTTATCACTTTTACACCGATGCCAAGTATCACATTATCACATCAAATATTGCATAAAAATGCAAATGTCCGCATTAATTTGCAACTATGTATTGTAATTTGCATTCATTGACGCTGTCGTGCTAATACCTCATGATTAAAATTGTTTCATACAATTAGAGTAGAGCATTATTTAATGAGCATTATGCTTGGGAAAAAGCTTCCATCGTGAGAAACTCTTTTTTTTTATTTGTTTGTCGTCAATTCAACCACAGATAAGACTATCACGAGGAATGTTCCAAACAGAGGAAATATTCTCGAAAAAAAAATAAAAACAAAAATCTCTTAACACGAAAGAATGTGAATTTCCTCACGCTAAAATAACTCTGTATGATTTAAACATTCTCTCTCTTCCGCTCACTACTCAACATTTTTCCCTCAACGAAAAATCTGGTGAACTTTTCTTTTCATATCACAAGTGTTTTCTGTGTGTATCTTCTCCCCGCCTATCGGGCGACCCTAATTGGATTCGTTAAACCCCATCGATTCAACCTCAGACAGCAATAAATATCCTCGTCACAGATTATAAACATTGCTTACGCGAATTTCCTTATCACAAGTGCAAAAAAAAATATATCGAACAGACGTCTGAGATATCAGAAATTGCATAAACAGAGCGTTGGTGCAATTAAAATTTAAGGTTGCCGTTAAAATTTATTGATTTGAGCATTCGAAGTTGCCGGCAAAAGTTGCACCTTTTCATGTAACAACAATAAAACACACTCTACAACTTGGTCAAGTGCTGTGAGATAACTTTAACCAAAAAAAAACCTCATTAAAACACAAAGTATGTGTGCAAAATTTCAGAATGTCAAAAATTCTATTTGGAATGTCTTGTCAGAATGAATAATATAAAAATCATTTCACAATCAATTTTTTTAAGAGAATATCTCTGTTTTCATCAAGAGTGCGCCAGAGTAAATTGAAAGCAATTTCTCCTATCTCATCGTAAGAAAAGGAGTCCCACGAGAGTGAATATAAACGAAGAAGAGTCTCTGCAGAGCATCACTCCAAATGAGTGATGGAAAATTGGAACATTCCAATCCAACGTCTTGAGAATCAATCAAATTACAACATTGGCCTTTAAAGTGTGTGCACGACACCAAAAAGTTGGTGGCGTTTGAAAATTTCATGGAAAATTGATTGTAACGTGAAAAATCAATTGTTAAATTGACGGGTCGTTTCTCATTTTGCTGCTCTCTCTCTCTTTGGCATCATTCCACCCTACAATATAAGGAGATTCTGGAGTGAATCTCCGCAAAAGGGCAACAGAAGAAGAAAAACACCGAGAACATGTTTCAGGTATAAAGTGAAAACACCTCAAAAATGAGGAAGGTCAGTTTACTATTCCACCGAGAATTTGAGCTATCTGCAAAAGTATGATAAGTATCTGTGTATCATGAACTCGATGGGGAGTGTAAAGTGCCAATTTTACCGAAGCATTCCTCGGGAATTTGTCATATCTGCCCAACCTATATGGAAAAAATCATTGGCTAGAATGCGTGTGGGAAAACTCACTTGACATGCACACACTTCGCCAAATCCACCTTTTCCCAGCACACGGTACATCCGGAAGGTTTTATATGTGACTGGCTGTGCTTCGAGCCACTTCCACTGGAGAAATCTGTTCAGGAAGACAGAAAGAGATGGAGAGAGAGAGAAAGATAATAGAGCACTTGTGAGATATTATCACACATGGCAAAGTCACAAATTCATCACTACCTGTGGAAGTACATGGAGTTCTCAAACTCCCTGAACGGTTCACCGGCTAGGAAGGCCTTCACGGCCGTTACGCATGGCTCAAACAGCTCCTTGCTGGCGCTATTGATCTTCTCTCGCACGGACGAAATAAGATCCACATTGAGGACATCCAGCACCAACTCCCCCTTGTCCCCCACCACCTTTGGCGTGTCATCATCATCGATTTCTGGCGACTGTTCCACCGCTATTTGCACCTGTTCCTCCTCCTCGGGCACACTCTTGCACTCGCCGATCTCCGGCGCACCGTCCGCCGCTCCTGTGGCCGGCGGCACTGTCGGCTGTGTGCCCTCATTGTCCTCCTCATCCACGCAAATCCCGAGAAAGCGCTTCCCGATCTCCTTCGCTATTTCCGTCCGGTGCTCATCGTACTCCACTTCATATCTTCATACAACCACCGAAAAGTGTGTGTTTGTGTTTGAAAAACCCGTGAGAAAAATAGAAAACGACACAAATTTTAAAAATAGTTCCTTTTCTCCATTCCCCGAAAAGCAAAAGAAAAAGAAAAAAAAATACTCATACAGCACACTCAACACACATCATCTTCTTCTTCTTCGTATCTCTCCCAAACCGACATATAACTTCTCCTCTTGAATATCATTTTCACACACAAGAAGATGTAAATAAACCACATTGCTTCTTGCCTTTCCCAGACACGCCAAAAAGAAGGCGAAAAGCAGAAAGGATTATGATTGATCATCACCTGACTACAGAGTCCAAGAATGCGATGTATCTGAAGTAGAGGGGCCGCTTGTGCTCGCAGAATGATCGAAAGAGAATTCGGCCAATCGGCTGCTGATCTATGACGTAATTGTAATTCACATCTACGCCAATTAGACATTGTGTTGAAAAGAAAGGGAATTAAGAACAACAACATAAAAAAAAATATACACATACAGCATGGAATAGAGATAAAGAGATTCACTCAGAGATGCTCCGCAAAACACAGCTCAATGCGTGAATTATTTTCAAATGATACGTGCCAGGGAATTCAATCAATTGCTCAATTATAAGATCGGAAAAGCGTCAGAGCGAAGGTTCACGTTTCTAGCGGTAATATACGCTATCTATACTTCCACGATTGAGCAATCAAGTCACTGTGCAGGAAACACTTCATCCACCAACACTTCTAACTATCACTTTGCTATAAGGAGCTTTAAATCACTTTAATAAATTGATTGTTAAGCGATAATTCTGTGCATAATCTCAAAAACAAAATCAATTATGTGAAATATAATTATATCAATGTTCATAAACAACTGCGAAAACTTAGTTAAAGCAATAAGATGATTCTATGAATTCCCATTTCCAAGACACTCAGAATTGTTATCCAAAACAATAGCGAAGGAAATCTATGATCACAGTTCTGGTAGAAGTAGTGTTAAAATATCACTGCATTGAATATTAACACTGACTAAAGCCATTAGCAATAACTATTGAGCGTCTTCTAACAATGTATACAAAACAATCGATGAATGGAGCAGTAACAATCTCATCTCCATGAAAATCTTTAACATAAACGATAAGACATCTTACCAATTCTCGCCTTGTGTTGAATACACTGTGATATGTGTGGGAATTGGAGGATCTTTCGCCATTTTTTACTCTTCCCCTTGTTGCTGTCTGAGCCACCTGAAAGGGAAAATCGATCCAAAATAGAGAGAAATTAGATTGAAGCGAGAGTGTGTGGCAGAGAAAAAGAGGGAGGATGAGGAGCAAAGAACACCAGCTGATGGTGATTTTATGAGATGAAAATACTGAATTATTCATTACCTTCTCTGGCTTTCAAATAGACCGTATTGGCCACAATGTTCTCTAATTCCATCAGTTCCAGGTTGGCGGCCTTTTATTGTTACCCCTTGCACACTCAAATTGAAGTCTCTCTCTCTGTTCTCCCTCGTCGTGTCAGTCGCACACGCTTCAGTCTTTCTCGCCAAACTCAATTGAAGAATCACTCCGTTTGTCAACAATTCAACTTCCGGATGATTCCAGATACTTTGACGTTGTCTCTCTCGTCTATACAATTCTTTTGCTATTTCTGCGCCTCCCCCTTGAACTCCCTCGCGCGCGCCTCACTGTCGTCGTCGTCGTCTTCACAGCAGAATCACCAACACACACGGACGGCTTTCCTATTGTGCCTTCGCTTCTATAAATTGGAAGATACAACGACGGGGAGGGGGAGAGAGAAAAAAAATATATAGAAATGTATAAAAGTATCTGTGATTAGTGCTTGGGAGTGAGGTTAATTGACGTCGGCTTCCCGTTAATGATTGTTTGTGTTTGGCCGCATGAATTCTCGAGGAGGAAATGAAAATTTGCATTGTGAAGAGACGGAGAGAGACAGAGACAAGTAACTTGTAGCCATAATACACTCCACAAGGTCTTCCACCGTACTTCACATCCAACCAACCAGTAGGTCAAAAGTCCCACTAAATGTTTATACAAGGAAATTTGGTATTCTTATGGCACAGAGGGAGGACAGAAGCTCTCTCTCTCTCTCATTGCTTCGCTCATTTGCGAAACTCAACTATCTGGAGAAATTAGCACGCAGTTTTGTTGCTGCTCGACAAGAAGTCAATTGCAACTCTCTGTGTGTATAAGAACTTTCAATTTGCTATGAGAAGTTGCAAAATTATACAGACAGGAAAAATTGGATGCATTTTGCAAGAGAGAAGAAGGAATGGGAAATGATTTTCTCACTTCACCAACACTATATATGTCCACATATATATATATTGCCACCCATAAAACCCCATACAATTAAGCTTAATTCTTTTGCAACATTGAAAAAATATCCGAGAAGAAATCTGCGATTTCTCTTCACCAAAAGCCAAGCAATTCTGTCAAAATGCACACAACATGAATTCATACCAACAAAGTATAGAGAGAAAAACATGAAAATTAATCCAATTAAAGTTTCTGAACTTAACAATTTCACAATATACTCGAATTTTATATTACACTTCGTTTTGCGCAACACACACTTTTGCCCATCATTTTCCCTCTCAAAAACACTCCGCATATTTATACGAAAATATCCATACCATAACAGTCTCTCTTTCTCTCACAACATTGGATATTTTACCATAACAAAGACCGCGATACTGTTTGTGACAATGTCCAATGAAGATATCTATCATTTAATCCTCTTATATTTCAGAAGGCTAAGAAATCCTCCAAAGTGGAAGATAAGAGCGAATATATTTTGCATCAAATCACAAGGATGATAAACCTCAAAGAGATTTGCTTTACAACAAGACGAAAGGCGATTTATGGCATATTTTCATAAGAGAGAAGAGAGAGAGAGAAAAAAATCATCACAAAATAAGGGATGAAGAAAAAACACACACCCTCTGCATATAACATTAAACTCGATAAAGAATATGTAACAAGCAAACATTTTAGGCAGAGCAAAACTCCAATTATCCCATATTAGAGCACATAATCTCAACTCAAGTCTGTGTCCATTTTGGAGGATGTGAGACTCTCACAAGAAGACATTCCTTGAAATGAGTGCGGCTCTCACTCCTTATCAGATGCCACTTTATTGTGAGGGAAAATCGTGGTTTAGCTAAATGATCATGTTCCACACAGGCCTTTACTTTAAACGGAAAAATAAGTGAATGGGAAACACAATGGAAATGGCAAACAATGGTTAGGAGCTTGACAATGTAAAAGATCCGAGCTTTTTTTGTAGGCTGCATTGCTTCGCAGTTGAAAAATACCCCAAAATTATTCCCCAAAGCTTTGCAGAGTCTGGAAAATTTTCCTGGACTTTTTTTTTCCCCCATCTACACATAATATCCTGTCATTATGTGTTGCACACATATTTTAATAGCCTTTCCCGACCATCGCTTGATGTTATTAAATGCATAATTGAGTGGGAGCCAATGAATTAATTGAATGACAAAGTCTCTGTCTCTCTATAGCAGTCGCAATTTCCTCTATTAACCATCCTGGAAATGTGCACGTGTTTTTGCTGGACTAAAAATATATTACGCCAGAATATTTTCAATTAATTTCCCTAATAGATACACACTTTGTACAATTTTCAGCGAAGCGACAATGTTAATTAGTAGAGTTAGAATGTATTACAAATTTAGAATCCATCAGCGGCTGTATTATGAGCTGAAATTATGACTTCTCAATCGATTTATGATGGATTAAATAAACATAAACAACGATGCATGTCTGTTTATTGTTGAATTTGCTTTTAACATCGATTTGTTGATAGATGGGCGGATTGAATTATTGATTTAGGCTCATGTAATTGGTTGATTATTGGAGGAGGATTTTTGGAGAAAGACTTGTGTTCTCTTGTCTGGCTGAAAAGAAAAACTCCCCAACAAAGGTCAATTAGACTTTTAGCAGAAAATAATTTTGAACTGGAATTTTTCGCTTTCGATTTTTCCACCTCGCGGTCTTGATGAGAACAATTTTGTGTGAATTTTCAATGCCTACGCACTTTCCAAAAAATCCAAGAAGCCTGCCAACATAGCGATAAAGAGTGTAAAAGGCTCTACGAAGACGTAAATAGTAAGAGAAGATGAATAATAGTTTTTCATACCGACTGTCTGCCGAGATTTAAATTTCCGGGGGAAAATCTCACAAACATCTCTCACTCTCATTCTTCTGACTCTCAAAGACGTGGGAAAAACCATTGCAGTACGTCAGAGAAACACTCACAATCACAGAGGAATCACGAGAACTCCACCACGAGGGTGTCATAAACTGATAATTTATGGCACATTTTTCTGCTCAATGAGACGCCCTTTGCACATTTTTTTTTTTTCGCTTTCGCCTCCAAAGCGTCCAGCAGAGCGCTGAGAGGGCAATTAATTGGGTGACACGTGAAATGTGGGGTGCAGGCGCTCCTCATGCAGAGTGGGCGATGTGGCGGCGACTCCGCGTGAAAGAGTGTCACTCTTCTGGACAACACGGGTGTGGTTTTCGCCGGGGAGTTCAATTTTTAAACACACGCCAAAAGAACACAGACAGACGCGTGGAGAAGCCAACAGCGCAAGGGAGCCAAGAAGAAAGCTTAATGTTGCACCCTTATAAGAAATATACTAATATCGTATAAGACACAGTGAAGCTCTGAAAGTTTCCGTCTCACTGGGATTCGACGGTGAATCAATTTGCCACACTCTTGGATTTTTGGAGTTTATCAACTTCAATTTTAAACAAATTCATAGCCACTTAATCTGAAACATTTCATTTCCGCAGTCTGCAAGATATCAATTATTCCAATGAAAAATTTGGAACAGTGCTAAATTTAGAGTTTAACCCTGTCATGAAATATTCAATCACTCAATTAGTATAAAAATTAAAAGGTTGAAAGAATTTTATCATCGATCTTTGTTTGCTTTAAATTTCCCTTTCACAGTCTGGGTTTCTGTTATCAAAAGCTTGTCAAGAGCTTCACAAAGCCACATTTCTCAAACAGAACCTATCAAAGGTGGAAGCCCTTAATGAGAAAATGCTCCTTTGTCCATCAAACTGTGAAAAGCTCTCCTCTCCACCGAAGGACACCCGAAACTTCCGGATGGATGACAATAGCTGTGCGACCACGAAAGGAGTCGCCCGGAGTAGAATGGCTTTTGTTGAAAGTTGAATATGATGAAAAATAAAATATTATTTGTTGAAGTTGCTTTGATACTCTCGTGTGTGATTATTTAATCAAGCACACCACTACTCCAGGCAGGCGGATAATGGGTGAGAGATGCTCTCTCGCTGTTTGCGTATAAATTTAATTTATTTGACGAAGATGAGGCAGCGCAGAAAAATTGTGCGATTCTTATCCATGGGCCTCTCGGGATGAGCCGCTCGCCAAGTCTCATCGTCTCGCCACGCTCAAAGGCAACCCGCGCGCGCCTTCGCGGGCCCCCTCGAGACGGCGGGCCCCACTTGTCCCGCCGCCCGAGGCTTCGCGCTGAGCATCATTTTCGCGGCCACTTTCCACCAACTTTCCCCGCACGCACTCACCGCTTTTGGTGTGAAATTGCTCGGCTGCCTCGTGGAAAAGCTGCGTGAAGCCAATTTTCACATCTGCCGCAGCGCCAAAGGGGACTTTTTTGCACTTTTCTCACTGCTTTGCCCGCGACACGGCCCGCAACTCGCCTGCTCCATATTTCCACACACGCCCAACTTGTGAATCACACACCGCACGCACTCAGAACATTACAGCATGCACGCTCACGCAGTGTTTCACGCACCACTTTTCACGCAGCACAAGACTCAATTGCTGGCTGGAAAATTGGTAAAATGGCAATTTGCAGAGCGGAGGAAAAAAGTGGGTGACCAGAGGTTTGACACCACTGAAAGTGTCAAAAAATACGCCTTCCATTTATTCCACACTTCCAAGCCGCCGCGGGCGAATATTTCGCCGCATTCCACACACATTTACTACGCGACGCTTTAGACGAGTGTCTTCTGGGGAATTTGTAAGATTTTAGAGCCTCACAGCGGAAAGGGAGCAATTTGCTCTCAAATCCTCTCCATTCTATCCAATAAATATGTATTTTGAAGAGCTTCAATAAATTTTCGATAGTCGACGCTGTAATAATACCTAACGGTGTGAAGTGGAGGTAATTTACATGCACTTTATTTACACACCCTCTTTCGACGAGTTGGAACGCGAATCCCATTTTGAGTGCGCGTCAAAATTTTGCTCTGGTTGTTTTCCTAAGTTTTCCAGCCAATTTTCCATCCAAAATGTTCCAAGTGGTTGGCAAATTGGAGACTCAAAGCGATATTTGCATGGTTTCGGTGAAAACACCGGGCGTGAAGAGGAAAATAGTACAAAGTGGACAGGACAATTTCATCATAACGCAGAAAGAGGTTAAAAGCTTGTTTTGCGTTTTGTCGTAAGAAAGTTTGTCAATATTCTCTTCCTTCTGTGGCCTCTTCTAGAGTCCAAGGAAGAGCACCATGCCGACTGGTCAGAAGAGCAATTGGCAGCAGTTGGGAACGAGCAGAGGGTCAAAGTTGAGAGGGCAGAGTGATGAGCGTGAGAAGACCTTCAATTGCTTGGTGTGCAACATCAAATACGATGAGAGAAGTCATCTCCTGTCCCATCTGAATGTGGATCACAACGTGACACTGTACAAGTGCGACTTCTGCGAGGAGAAGTTTGCCGACTCGGCTTTCCGGGAGCGTCACATCACGAAGGTTCACGTGCGCTTCCCCATGGAGACGATTGAGGAGCTGGAGGCTCCTCCGAATGAGGACGAGAACGAGGAAGCCGACGAGGAGTTGTACGACAATTTGGACCCGGACGACGAAGAGTGGCGGCCCCGCGGAGAGATGGAGGAGGAAGAGGAGGAGGAGGAGGTGAGAAAAGTCGTGAAGAGCCCTAAGAAGGTTGTGAGCAGCCCGAAGAACGTCGAGGTGAAGGCCAGACAGGGCTTTGTGGGACGGCCGAAGATGTTCGGCAACAAGGTGGGACGCCCAACCAATGCCGCGCTGCTGGAGTGGAGGAAAAGACGTGCTGGCAGTAAGGTGGAGACGCAGCCAATTGAGGTGAGAATGGCGGCGGGATCGGACGACGAGGAGGACGTGGTGGATCCGTGGTGGGCGAAGCCTAAGGAGGTGCCGGACGAGAGGAAGGTGATAAAGGATGTGTTCAAGATGTGTCACATCTGTGGCGAGATGCGAGTCACTCTGGGATCGCATCTGCGCAAGGTGCACACGGAGTTCACCAACTGTCCGACCTGCAATGGGAAGATCAAGGTGGGCGAGGAGACGCCACATCGATGCCCTCGCCGCAGGCCCACCTACACGTGCGCCTGTGGCCTGGAGTACACTGTCCGGGAGCACATGCACGGCCACATGCTGGAGAAGGAGTCACCGAAACATCAGATTCAGTGTCGCCACTGCAATCTGACGTTCCGGGACTTCCAGTTGTATCACGATCACCAGGATGCGAGTCATCCGCTGCCGTTCATCTGTCACGTGTGCGCGAAGCCCTTCAGCAAGAAGTGCAACCTCAAGTCGCACATCTACAGCATTCACGTGAAGGAGAAGCCGCCGATGAAGTGCAAGATGTGCGGCGCTGAGTGCCTGGGCGAGCGCAACATGAAGCGCCACATCAACCACGTTCATCGCAAGGCCACGCGCATCAACTGCTCGATCTGCAACATCAGCATCTTCGACAAGGTGTCCCTCAGGCGCCACATGATGTACAAGCACGGCCTGAAGAAGGAGTTTGTCTGCAATGTGTGCAAGAGGGAGTTCGCCACGGCCGACGCGCTGCGATATCACATCACCACGCACACCGGAGAGCGCCCCTTCCCGTGTCCCTTCTGCCCGAAGGCCTTCAAGATCAACTCCGAGCTGCGAAAGCACTACAGAGCACACAAGGAGCTCACCATCAAGTGTCCCTCCTGCAGCGTGTACTGCCTCAATGCGGAGGATCTCAAAGCGCATCTCCGACGCTATCCCGTGCACGATGTCAAGTTCTCAGCGGATGACTAAGAAGTCCCGCACGCATCATTATCACAAAATGTTCACAGTTTTAAGTTCAGTTCAGAATAAAGCCATAGCCAAACGAGCAGCGGTTTTGCATGGGATGCGCCCTCTTCCCCTACACTGAACTTCGCCGCCGTTCGCCGCAGCGGAGAAATTGGTCGTGTGGAAGGTGTGGAAGACGTCAGAACTGCCCTGACGTGTACCTTTTGTTTTTCTGGTGCTCCCCAGGCAGATTTCACCGCATTTCCGCAATATTAACATATTCTTCGAGAGCATCAGCCTCTTGGCTGCCGAAATTCTCAAGATGCGCTCTATCGGTGTGTCACTGGTGACCATGGGGCTCACGGCCGCCGTGATCGGGAATGCCTACTACCAGAAGAAGCAGTTCTATCCATCTGTGGTCTACATCACGAAGAGTAACCCCAGCATGGCGGTAAGAGGTGGTCAGGAAGTGTGCCGTGCGAGGCTGAGATTCACCTCTGCCCGTCTCTGTTTCAGGTCATCTACATCCAGTCCATGGTGCTGGTCCTGATGCTCGGGAAGCTGATGCGAAAGGTAGGAGAAAAGACTGGGAAAACACATGAGTTGCTGACATTTTATTTGCAGATCTTCCTGGGAACCCTGAGGGCGGCAGAGTTTGAGCACCTGATGGAGAGATTCTGGTATGCTCTGACTGAGACTTGCCTTGCATTCACAGTCTTTCGGGATGACTTCAATCCAAAGTTCATTGCGCTGTTCACGGTGCTGCTCTTCCTGAAATCCTTCCACTGGCTCGCGGAGGATCGCGTGGATTACGTGAGAATGCTGTTTGGAGGAGTCTGTCGAGGGAGTGTTTAATGAAATTTCTCTCTCTGGTGTTTCCAGATGGAGCGGAGTCCTGTGATCGGATGGCTCTTCCACATACGCGTGGCGGGATTGGTGAATGTCCTGGGCATCCTGGACTTCATGATGATCTCGCACGCCTACTACTCCACCATCTCCAAGGGAGCCTCCGTGCAGTTGGTCTTCGGCTTCGAGTACGCCATTCTGATCACGATGGTGGCCAACACGACCATCAAGTACATTCTGCACGCCACAGAGCTGCGTTCCGAGAGTCCGTGGGAGAACAAGGCGGTGTTCCTGCTCTACACAGAGCTCATCATTGGACTGATCAGGGTTGTCCTGTACATCCTCTTCGTCGTCATCATGGTGAGGATCTACACGCTGCCGCTCTTCGCCTTCCGACCAATGTACTACACTATCAGGTGAGTTCCTGGCTGTTTGTGCGCTCATCGCGAGAGCGATTACTCAGCTGGGCGTCTCTGGGTGGGGAGGAAATTCAAATAAGTGTGTGAGTCTCTTCCATTCAGATAATCACACTTTATTTAATCTATGCGAGAGGTGGTCAATTGATGACTTCCGAAGCGGAATCAATTCTTTTGGTGGTGAAAAAAATTTCATGTTCATCAGAATTGCGAGGGAAAAAATCATAATATGAGCACAATTCAGTTTCTAATCGATAAACATTTCACATTTCACTAATTGCGCGCCCCTCTGCAATGCTGGATCGTATCTCTCTCACCACTTTTCACCGCTCAAGGCGATAAGAGACACTGTTCTCAATTCAGTGATAATATTCTCTGGCTCCGCTTGAGTCAAAATTGTTCCGCAGGAGATTTTAGCAAAGTAAATCAAGTGAAAATTCTCTCTATTATCTCCTCTGTAGGAACTTCAAGAAAGCACTGAACGACGTCATTCTCTCGAGGCGAGCCATTCGCAACATGAACACCCTCTATCCGGACGCCACGGCTGAGGAGTTGCATATGTCGGACAATATTTGCATCATCTGTCGCGAAGACATGGTGAGTCACTCGAAGAAGCTTCCCTGTGGCCACATCTTCCACACCGCTTGTCTCCGATCGTGGTTCCAACGCCAGCAAACTTGTCCTACGTGTCGACTCAACATTCTTCGCACACCGGTTCAAGCCACTCCGGCGGCTCCACAAGCGGCTCGGATTGTTCCGAATGCCGCCAATCGACCGGCAGCGGCTGGCAATCAGCCGGCAACTCCAAATGTCAATGCAGCGACTCCAGGCCAAGTTCCTCCAGCGGGAGCGCCGGTTTTCCCGCCAAATATTGTGCCTGGCAGTGCAGCAACCGCCACGGGTACAAACACTGGCGCCACGATTACTATCCCGTCCTTCTTGCCGCCTCCAATAACTGGCGCTCCGATGGCTAACTTCCCAATGATGACACCCTACTTGCTGCCGCCGCCCCCAATGCCATCCACTCTGGCTTCCCTCACAGATGAAGAATTGACTGCTCTCGAGGGCACAGAGAGAAGGCATGTTGAAGCGAGAATCAAGGTAAATTGCCGTGCAGATGAGAGATAAAATGGACTTTCCATCCTTGCATTATTGATAAGACGCGATGTGTTACACACAAAACGTCGTTTCGTGATTGAGAGAAATAACAATTAAGAAGGAATGGAAAGTCCTCGATGACCGTGAAATTTACATACTAAAGTGATGGAAATGTTTCGTTTTCTAGCTTCTCAGGAATATTCAAACGATGTTGGACGCTTCTGTGGCTCTCATGAATCAGTACACAGCAATTAATGCACAATTTCCGCTGGGAAATGACTTTGCGGCCTTCCCAAGTACTCCCGCTGCTGCTGCTGCTGCTGCTGCAACTCCTTCAGCCGCTGCTCCTGAGCCTAGTGCATCCACGTCAGGGGCATTCGCGGTGCCTGGACCCTCGGGAGCGTCAGCAGAGAAGCCGCCGCATGTCGAGGAGGAGACGACGAGTCAGGTGAAAACCACAAGGATAGATGAGAATGTGGTGAAGTTGGAGGATATTGGCAGTGAGGAGCCAAGCTCAAACAACGAAGAGGCGGAATCGAACACGACGAGCTTCGCAGGGATTTACCATGTGCCTGAGGAGTCGTCAGAGAAGGCGGAATTGCGCCAAAGGCGACTGCAGAAGTTCCAACCGAGTGATGGCAAGGGCGACACAAAGTCCGATTGATTGAGATGATCTAAATTGCTAAATTATCCCCAAAAATTTTTCTTTATAATGTACTGTGTGTCAACGCTGTGGAGGCAAATAAGACATGTTTTCTTTTCGTCTGAATGTGGAGTAGAAAAAAAACAACAGAAATACATTTTAAGATGGAAAGATATACTGATGGAAAGCTTTGTTTTTGGTGACATTTTTCTGTACATTGCGCGCACTTTATTATCCGTCCAACAAGAGTTCAACAGTTTACATTTATATGCCTCACATCAAAGGTAGTTGCAGCACTTTTTTTTTATTAGTTTCTTTTTAGAAAATTTGAGAGACGATAGAATTTCGCTAGTGAACTTCATTACACTGTCTCGCTAAATGGTCGGTAAATGTTGCTCAGATCGCAAAATCACATTTTTCTGTGGTATTCGCACTTCGGGATTTGGACCGGGCAACAGTGAGGGCAGCGAACTCTGCAAAGTCGTTACATTTCAACAATTAACAGTCATATCTCGCAATATATTAGATAGTCTATTCAACATTCTTTTGTGGGGATGAAACAATGTCCTGGTGGTTGGAAATAACACACACTGATTTTCAAATCAAACAGATAAAAATTGTGTCTTTGTGTGGTTGGAATAGCGAAAATAAGATAAGTAAAGATGGATAGAGATGAAAGAAGCGGATAAATTTCAGAGAAGTACACAAAATTCACTAGACACCTTAACCTTCTCCCGAGCAGGAGATTTGGCCTCCAGGGTTGTTCCCATCTTCGCCGCGTAGTCTTCAAAATAGGCATGGCACGATAGCTTCTCGCAACTCCATCGCTTCGCTGGATCCTTGTCCAGGCATTTCTGCAAAGAGTTTTGTGTGAATCTTTTATTCCGTGTTTTCTGAATGTTTTACGATGTGAATTTGTGAAACACTTCCTGAACTTCTCTATCAATTTTTGTCTAAAAATACAACCGCCACGCTAGCGAAAAGTCTTTATCGGCACCATCGCCGCAATTTAATATTTTATCAGACGAGAAGTGGAAAAGCCAGAAAACTTGTGTAAGTGGGTTTTGTCTGGCTGATACACACGATGCCCTGTGATTATGTGGTGAATAATGCAGAAAAGACGCGCGCTCACCTTGAGGAAATCGATCATGAGGGGATTCTGGAGGGTTCTTGGCGGCATCTTCGACTCCAGGGTCTCAATTGTGGGCGGCACGGGCAACGTGACGCCTTTGAAGAAGTCATTCTGATTGAAGATGGTCAGGTGACGCGGCAGGAGATCGCCCAGGGTGCGTCTGATGAGGTACAACTGATCCACATCGCTGCGTCCGGGCCAGAGCGCCTCGCCGCGCACCAGCTCCGCGAAGACGCATCCCACAGCCCACACGTCCACCGGTGTGCCGTACTGAGTGTCGCCCACGAGGAGTTCGGGGGCGCGATACCATCGCGTGGCCACATAGTCCGTGTAGTTCTCGCCGGGAGTGAGCATCCGGGCGAAGCCGAAGTCGCACAGCTTCACCTGGCCCTGTGCCGTCAGCAGGATGTTCTCTGGTTTGATGTCGCGATGAAGGCAGCCCTGGCGGTGGCAGTACGCCACGCCCAGGAGTGTCTGGTACGTGATCTGCTTCGTGAGGTTGTCTGGGCATCCCTTTTGGGAGGAAAAGTCGGGGTTAATCATAGTGCAGAGACAGAGATTGTTGGGGTGCAACAGAGCCTTGCCTGGGGATGTCGCTCGAGTTCGTGGAGGACTGTGTGCTCGCAGAATTCAAAGACCAAGTGGAGACGCCTCTTCCGCCGGAACACCTCCAACAGACACACGAGATTTGGATGCTTGAGGTTCTTCAGCAGACGAATCTCTCGCAGAGCAATCTTCCTGATGGCCGGATCATCTTCGGACTCCACGAACTTCTTCACAGCCACCAGCTCGCCAGACTCGCGGTCTCGGCACTTGTACACGATGCCATAGGAGCCCTCGCCGAGGCGGGACAGCTTCTCGTATCGATCCATGCGGCTACTCCCTCGCGACCTGCCGGAAGAGTATCAAATGCCAGGACTATTTTTACACGCTGGGCCGCGGAAGGAAGTGATTTGTGCCGCAGGTGAGAATGAGAAGTGCGGTAAGAGGGTTCATTTGGGTTCAATGTATCGCATTGACAATGGTTTTTCGGATGGGGGTGAAGGTGGAATAGTAGGGCGAGCACAGGGAGCTTTATGACTATTGAATTGCTATCGATAACTCAAGGGAATGCAGTGCTATGCGAAGGAATTTCTGCAGAACGCATTGAAGCGGCAGAGCGAGAAGGGTTTATAGCTTGTTCAGCTTGTTCATGTGTGATATTTATCTCTGTAATTGCGGAGAAAAATCAATCCTGACTCGGCTATGTAAATATTTACCAAATGAATTTGTCCCAGAGGTCATTAAGCCACCCACATGAATTATTCACAAAGTCAAGGTTTAAGGTTAAACCACTGAATAAATCAATATTCCTAACTTTTCAATTAATCCTCATGAAATATTTCTGTGAGAAACATTTTATCCAAATATCCTTCAAATTACGTGAAAATGCTCATGAGTGTCCTTAAAATGAGTTAAATTGTATAATGAGGGTCTTTTGCATAAATTTTCGTGCAATCTCTAAGAGAAAATCGATGTCAAGAACACTTTCTTCAAACACTCTTGAGGTGAAATGACGAGGGCGAGACGTTGAGAAAATATTTTCTAACTGACGCGTGTGGTCAATAATGATTTTCCTCAGACAGAAGACCTTTTCACAGGATAATGCTACTGCCTGACCTTTCCAGACACACACCGAACTGTAATCAATCAATATCGGACACTGTGCTGACCAAATGTTCTTCTCTGGCGATTTCCCACAGAATTTTTTAGAGTCCGAAGGGAAAATAGTGGCTTTTCTCTCTAATTAATAACTCACCTTCTCGGCAGAAGCGGCAAATGATTACCAAACAGCCACAACCTGTGTATTTGATTAGGGAAAATTGACTCTTAGCAGGATAATCAGGACTCTTTCTCTGCATTTTCACTCACCGTTTCTCGCCAAACCATTTGTCCATTAATTGAACGAGGGGAGAAATTTAACTCTTTAGCCGTCCTCCGTGACTTTCTGCTTCACTACACGAACTCAAAGGGTGAAATGAAGTGAAAACACCTTTTCCTTCTTGTTGTTATTGCTTGTAGACCTGGCAACGGTCCGGGCACAACTGTTCACCTGATGGATTTTATGATTTTATTACACTTCCCTTCTGTTCCTGCATTGTATTCATGCGCAACGCATTTTCTTCAATCTCAAAAGCATTTTTCATCATTTTTCCGTGCGTAATAATTTTCACAATGATCATTTTTGCACTTTCTTCAGCAGAATGATTGAATTCTTCGTTCACGTGCACTTATTCGTTATATTTCCACACTTTGTGGAGAATTTCAAATATTCCGCCTTCTGTGGAAATCCCAGCGAAACACTGCTAAGATCTCAAAGTTGAGACTTTAAAAGCTAATTTTTTCGCTTTCTTTCGCTAAAATCTTAGCTTAGTGAGAAACGAACGCTGTTCAGATCGGAGCGTCGGACGCCAGGAAGAAACTAATAAATTCAGCAAAATAATAAGTGAAAAACAGCAAGAAAAAATTAGAAATTGTCTAAGAAAATTGATCGAAATTAGCTAAATGAAGCGTAAAAATTGGCTTAATATTATGCTTTAATTTGCTGTATTTGTAACGCTATTGATTTTCCTCCATGGTCCGCTGCAATGCGAACTGGTTTATATTCCGTTACTTTGGCTTAGCATTTTTTCTTCGAGAACTGCTAAAATTTTAGCTCAGATATCTTAGCACAGTTTAGCTATAATAAGTGCCTTTTCAGTTCTGGGTTCGCTGGGATCTGCAGGCAAACGAGTGAGACAACTATATGATGTTTTACCGTCTCTTTCACACTGATAAGACTCTTGATTCGATATATCGTTTTATTTTCAGTGCGGAGAATTTCAGAGTGTCAAAAAGTGTTTATTTTCTGGCAGAAAAACAGCGTAATTGACTAAAAGCGTGCGAAATTGAGAGTGAAAAGGCGATTGTTAAATACAGTGAGTGAGAGGAGACGTGCCAGTTCTTGTGGATATCTCTGTTTGAGACGCAATTTCGATAAAATCGAAGAGATTTGGTCACCGTCCATCGAAGGTCCAAGAGAAGGTACACTGAGAGAAATATATTGCTGAATATTTGAGGTGATTGTTACTTTGAGCCAAAGAAGACAACGTTTCGGTGGGAAAAAAAAATTCTCAGTAAAAGTAGCAAAGAATTCTTGTATCTAAATCTCATTTTATGTGACAACTGGGGATTAAACCTTTGAACTAATCGAAGGGTTTTCTTGGATGAATTCATTTCAAATGCCAAAGGAGACAAATTGAATACACAAAAGTAACCTTTATCGATTGTCGCGAGGCTCAAAGCAATCGCAGCTCCATTACAATCAATGCTCTTCTCTATATGCGCGAGATGACCGTCTCCTTGGGCTTTTATTGCATGTGACTCACGACGGTCGGTGCACAGCATCCGGAGGAAGAGTGGCCGGGAGCGCAAGTGGAGGAGATGAAAATGCCACTCGCCCACCGGATCAATGACGCTGCCAGAGACCAGCGATGCAGCATGTGGCGCGAGAGGCAGAACCGCGAAAGGTTGTGAAGTGGCGCGTATTGCAAAACCATTCTCAATTCCATCGCGAGTGTGTGGTGAAGGCAGCGCAATCGGCGAGTGGCGGAGTCGCGCGCGCTCAGGCCTCGCCAGTTGATTCACGATCGTTGATCTGAGCAGTTGGGTTGGATCTTTTCGAGACTCGAGGCATATATAGTGAGTGTCTTTTGGGATTCGCCGAGGAGTTGCTCAAGGGCCAGAGAAGTGGAGTGTGTGGCTAGAGTTGGAGGAGTGTGAGAGATCCTTTTGGTGAGGGAGGAGTGCGTGCGTGCGTGTGAGGGGGCTCTGAGTGAAGATTTTGCGGCTCTCTTTCTGAGTGCGGTATTCGCGCGAGATCGCATGAAAAGAGCTCTGAAAAGTCGTGTATTTCAAATACAAAACTGCTGTGTGCTCAGTGGAGCTGTTCTTACAATATTGTACAGTGCTGTGTGAGGCAATAGACACGACAAAACGAGAGTGTGGCACTTGGTAAATAAGGAGATATTTTACCATTGAGCGCAATTTCATTTTTTCATCATCTCACAGCGGTGTAATGTTTTTGTGCCTTTGTCTCCCTTCTTCTGCAATCTCTTCCCTCTCTCGGGGCAATCTTTAAGAACCGCGCGCGTCTCTGGAAATTACTCCATGAGAGATTGAAGTCTATTTCATCATTGTCTGCGATCGTCTGTAATGCTGAGTGACTGATTGCCTTATCGCGATTATTATGAAGAATTTTTATTCTCAGTCTCATGCAAATTGTTGCAGAGAGAGAGAACGAAGAAGGAAAATTGCACGGGCAATTACTGCATTATAATTTTTATCTCTTTTCACTTTGTATTGCGGGGTTTGAATATGCTAAAGAAATATATGCACCTCACGAGAGAGATATCTCAAACGGTTTCTACTTCCTCAAGCACATATTGCCACGCGCTTAGAGAGGGAAGAATGTAGAAACAAGACCCAGAAATTACACTTCAGCAAAGATAATGAGATGACGAACTGCTAATGATGTCAATTTTGCCATATTGAAGGGTTTCCATGTGAACGAAAGGACTTTTGCGGGGAGAATTTTGTGTGAAGGTGTGCAATTAGAAGAGAAGTTGAGACCAACAGTGCGAAAATGAGCTTCGTCAACTCCATCCTCTTCTCATCATCGGAGATGAGCAATTTTCTCCCGTTCTTGGGAGTGATTGTCTGCGTTGGAGCCATGCTAACATTTCTGATAAAGTGAGTATATTAGCTTCTAAGTCTAGCCTTAGCTAAACCGCGGCAAACAAGCAACTCCTCAAATGGTGCAAAAGCCGCCAGCAAATTTAACCTTTTCGCTATACGAATGTTTCTCTCTCTCTCACTCACTCAGTTGTATTATTTATTGTGCAAATTTCGAAGACACACACGCAACAGATTCCGTTTTCCAAATTGTTTCTCTTTCTCTCTCTCTCTCCACATTTAGTATATATATTTTCAAGGATGCACCCATAATGTCGCACACGATCATTTCTCTTTTGCTGGGACACGAAGAAGTGTTTCGCGCCATGCCGTGAGATCATTTCACATGTGATTTAGCAAATTTCACAAGCATTGTAATTGAAAATGGGTCGTGTTTTGAATCACCTTGAAATTCACTGTGGGAGGAACTCTGTGTGCACGTTCTCTCGCGAGTTGTATCCTTTTTTGGGGGCAGCTTCACTCCTTCGTGTGCAATTCACACTGAGTCACTGCAATTGGTTAACATATTTTGCAGCCAAATCTTTGGAATTCATTAAGAGCATGTGAAAAAGTATTGATTTTTTGCCGCTGAATCTCGCTAAAACTTTTCTCAATGAAAAATAAATCCATGGCAGAGCGATAATTAAATTTGTGTGTTGAGTGAAGAATGATGAGAAAGAAGATTTCAATCATTCTAACATTTCGTATTCATTAGCAAGAATTCTGTGTTGGTTATACAATTATATTTAATGCGGTTGTAAATTTGCAGCTGATAAGCTCTCTCTCTCTCTCTCTTTCTCCTCAGTTTTGGTCTGTTAGAAGTTAGCAATAAAGTGCTTTTTTAATTGTATTTCAAGGCTAAAGCATTCCTGATATGAAAAATCGATTTTGACCGATAGTATTTCCACTATATTTAATTGGATTCATTGCGTTTTTACTGAATATAAAGGTTAATTTGCGAATTTGGACTTTAAGTTGACACTTTTGTTGGCATTAATTATGTGAGAAGGAACAAATTCTTGAATTTGTTGAGGAAGTAAAGTTGATTGGAGCTATAAAAAAATCTTTGGAATGAAATTGTGGCGTTTACCGAGTTTTAAGAAATCCACATAATTATCATGTTTAACTTGCTTTATTGCAATTCCTCATGACGCGTGGTTTCTTTTTTTCCATTCACGCGAGAGAGTGAGAAATAGTGAGGAAAAAGACTAAATTGCACCTGAAATTGACGGAACTATAAAGATATTTCAGCGAGAAGTGATTCTCTTTTATGATAGGCAAGAACTGGGTGATTTCGGTCAGCTGGACTTTACATCAAAGTTCAGATCATTGCCGGAAGTCATGAACTCACAGTGTGACTAAAACGGTAGAATGGGCGAAATAATAAATGTGATGTGCAGAGATTTACAACAAAGAGTCCACGAGGAAGTGGAGAAAAAGCAAGAAATAAAGCAATTTTAGTTTAGAGGTCATTAGTTTTGACCTTTTTGACACCATTCTGTGTGTAATTCTTCTCTAAAGTGACCTTACGAAGTCTTTAGCTGCCCAGAAATATCAATTATCGTTTTTATTACGAGCATTAAAAAGAGACTAAAAACAAGAATCGATTAATTGAGTGTTCAAATCTTCCCTGCTGCTCGTCTTTGCTATTTGTTCCCTTTCACGTGTCTTCATCTCTAACGAGATTCATGTTCTGATCACTTGCGAGACATTTTTATCATATATTTCCACGTTAATTTATTGCCATGTCTGACTTTGCTGGTCATTTTCAATCACAATCGAATATCGTGATGTCTAATGGAGTGCGCGGAAAAAAATGCATAAACTTCGCATCATAGAGCATTAAAGCATGTGATGAATGGTTTAGAGGTGGCAAAAAGTCCATTTTGCGGGGGAGTGGAATGGCTGAAAAAATGGGGGAGATTTTTCAAGTCCACACGGTCATCCAAATTGACCATAACGTGATTAAGTGTCTAAATCGTCTCATTATATTCCAAGTGAAGCTCTCTTAGTTATTCACATTGAAAATGTGAAACACACAAACTGTCTGGGAGAGACGAATTTAACGCACCAGTCTCGCACACAATGACGAGCGGAGGGAAAAGAGACAGAGAGAGAGGGAGACAATTTAATATTTTAATTTTGAAATTGAAAGGAAAATTTTCAAGTTGGTTGTTAAAACAATGGATGAGACAGTGGAAAACAATTAAAAGACATGCACGAGTCACCAGAATTTCATTGTAAATCTTCACTGTCATATCAGTATTTGCATATGATTTGCAATTTTATTAATGAAGCGATACAAAATTGAAATTTTGGTTGGAATTTTCAGAAGAAGAAGAAGAGAGAAAAAAAGAAGAAGTGAGACGAATGTGTGATTCACACAAATGGTGATTTATTCATGAAAACGACGGAGTTCAAATAGAAGACATCTTTTCTCGCGCTTGCAGAGTTTATAATTTTTTAATTCATATGTAATTACGTCACATTTTTTTCGCCTGTGATAATGTCTCTAAAATAAAATGATTGTTTAGGTGGATGACGATGATATCATGAGGCGTGTGACACATATTGTTGAGTGTGTTTATTGTTATTATTGTGACCAGTGGACGACAATGAACTTGATTAATTGCATAAATCAATGAAAAGTCTCACCGTATGCCGAGTGTTGTACAGCGTAATTTGTAAAATGGTCTGCTCTCTTAAGTTCGCTGGGTGTTTGTGTGTCTGTTGACAAATTGTTGGCGGTGGGAGGAGGACACGAAGACAATCACGGATTACGACAATATAAATTGTTGTTGATGCGGATGCAACAATGGATGATATATTTCAATTTGTATGGCGATTAATGGGAAGTTTTATATATTTTTTTTAGCAAAACATGTCTCTGTAGGTGGAAAAATGAATGAGAAATATGACAAAATATTTCTAAACGCATCGCGGAAAGAGACTTTGATATATTATATGTGTCTTAATGACATCCAAGTTGGTTAGAATGTGGTCTTGAATATGGGCATATTTTATTAATCACGAATTTCTGAGGAGACTCATTGGAATGCAATTCTGCTATATTGATTTATTGATTAATATTTCACACAGTTTCTCCAATTAATCACACATAACTCGTATCGTTTAGCATTATGTATTTTGGGAGAGACTTAGCATTGATAACATGGCCAAGGTTGGCGTTAAAGTGAATTCAATGAACTTCAAATATTCGTATTTTGTACTTTCTAGCAGAAGCTTTTAAATGTGAGGTCACAAAATATAGACACTAAACCATATTAGAATATACCTTGCCTAAAAAAGTATGCGCTTTTTTCCGTGTGTGCACGGCAAATTCTTACATTCACGCTTCAAAAGACCAATGAAGTTACATTGGAGACCCTGATTGAATATTTGAAAGTGTGAGGATGTGAAATAGCTTTCAAATTGGACATTCTGAAGGATTGGCCGAAAGAAACGTACATTTTCTACTTCTAAAACTCGAAGATAAGTAAGTTAAACAGAATCTGCGAAAAGTGCGCAAAATTTGTGGGTGACACAAACAGTAATATATTCTTTTTTGATGTGTGCAAATCTCCATAAACTGTGTTTCTTCAAAGCTCATGAATTGCGTTGTTTTGAGGCAACAACAAGAGGAAATTGTAGAATATGATTGGGTGAAAAAAATCGTGTTATAAAATAATAACATATATTCGCACGGAACTAATGATATTCGACGTTTTCGTCTGCACGACTACATTTTGTTGTTATTTATCTGCGTGATTTATAGGAGTGTAGCAAATAAAATGTGTAAAGTCGCTGAGAGAGAGAGAAAAAAAAACGACACACTATAGAGAGAGAGATTCTCATTAGAATTTTATGATTTCACCATAATAATTGTATGGTATTAACATCTCATGATGACGTGACTCCACGGAAGACGATCACGCTTCCTTCTAGCATGATGGCAATGTTTTGGGTGGTTGTGAGATATTTTTGCAAATGATTCGATTGATCTTTTGATTCAACTTTGGTGTTCTTTATTGGATTACAGAGCAGCCATAATACTGCGTGTCCAGGGCGATGGTGGAGATGCAATTCGCGCCACAGCCGTGTCAAATGCACACAACAGCAGTCGGATGCAGGTTCCAAGGCTCAAGATGACACGAGTTCACATACCTTTCACGTTCCGCCTGCTGGAGAGTGTCAATACGTCTTATGAAGGTAAGGAAGGCATCTTATCTTTTTGCATGCAAGCCTTTGTACTTCTCTGGACGCGCGCGCGAGAGCGTCTCAGTGACATTGCGCCCATGAGATGCGGTACACTTTGTGGCAAAATGTTTGCACTTATCATCTGATTTAACGAAGTTTTTTGTCTTGTGGTTAGCATAAATTAAAGAGCTTGCGGTGACCCTATTTCTGCCACGATCGCTGTATCACATTATTGATTGTAGAGTGTCCGAAGCCGCAATAATCTGTCGTTTGACTAACACCAGCTGAGCACTTATGTCACAGTCTATTAAATCTTAGATAACGTTAAGAAGAGATGCTCAAGTTAAGACATTTTCGCAAGCTACTGTTTTTTAAAATGTAATTCCCTCAAAAGTGGGGATAACAGAGATTTTTCATAATTGCCTGAAATTGACATGAACTTGAGTTTCTTGCATCTGTCGATATTTATTAATATACTTCGCATCGTTAATTGACCAGAGGTTCTTCTGTTTCATCAAAACTTATAAATAAATATCTGTCAATGTTGGTGTGAATCCTTCAAAGTAGAAAATTTCTTCAATACAATACTGCGATTTGTGTTTGTGTGAAGACAAATCAATTAAAATTCAGCGAATGTTGCACTCCTAAGAACTTGCGTGAATTGTCAAAAAGCATCACAATTTGTGTGTGGCCGAGCAAGCAAGAGTTGCGCTTAGTGGATTGGAAGAAGAGAAGAATAGCATATAATATTCGAAGCTATAAGACATGATATTTGAGACTCTCCGGTGGCCCCGTACTTGAATTGTATGCTAATCATTTATTGTTGTGTGATTGGGACATATGGAATATGTTGGTGTCAATGTGTGTTTGACCATTTTCATCTCTCTCTCTATGTAATTGAATTAATTTAATTGGCAATTTGACACTGGAAAAGGGTACTTTGAGATGTTCTATGCTCGCCATTTTGTCAATTTGGCAATCGTGTGAGCATTTTGTGGGGAAATTTCCTCACTTTGCACGCAATTTAATAACAACTGCGACAATATGGAAAAGTACAATTGACTGTATCATCGCACAGCCAGAGTGGAAAGTATAACAGATGATTGATAAGTCAATAACATCACCCATGATATTGAATTAACGAATGCCAAGTGTTTCATCTCAAATGCAATTTGAGAAATTTGAGCTTGAGAGACCTTAAATGCCAATTCTATCTTAATATAGTCCACTAGGCAACAATGATTATTATCTTCCACTAAGGTTACACAGTCGCACATGTTTCAATAGAGCGAAAATATTGTCTCTTTTTTTTGTGGGGAAAATATTTCATTTCATGATTAAACTGTGGACATTCTGAAGGTTGAGCAAAGCACGAATCTCTCTTGGGAGGTTTTGTGAAGTGTGAATGAACTCACTAACCAATAGTCCTTCCATAAGCATTGTATCATTAATCTTGAGAGATGCTCTTTAGCGATCTCAACGCTAAATGCATCGTGGAAAATTAATTTGTACAATGATTTTTAATCAACGGCGATAAGCAAATATGAAGGTAAATTTTTCGTCTGTTTTAGTGGAAGTTACATAAATTTTTGGGGCCTCTGGCACACTTTTTTTCCGCCTCTCTTATTTGTCTCAACTCTTGATTCAGGTGGCAAAAAAGGTAGCCGGAGAGTGACAAAATACCGCAATCTAGCGACCATTCAATTGCGCGAATTGAGTAAGACACTCTCTTGGGTTCAATTGCTCTCGCAGACGCGATTGACTACGTGACCAGCGAGTTGGTTGTAAACAGATGCCCACATGGTGTCCATAAATGGAACCTGACTTTATCTCTCTTCGTGCTCTTTTTTCCTCCTCGTGCTCTTGCTAATAACTTTAATCCAAAACTCGCGTGCAATAAAAAGGGAACTCCGCGGCGTGACAAGTTTGCTCTGTCTTATTATTTTCCTCTTGTATAAACAGTTGATGTGGATGATCGTGTCTCACCGTGCGCACTGTTTACCTCTCAAGGTCTCCCATCGCGAGCAAGGGTAACTTTCCATCCTTAGCGTGCCTTCTCTATCTCAGCGGGCAGAACTTGCTATTTTTCCTGAATCTCTTTTTATCGCCACTGTACATTGTCTCATTTAAAATGCTGTAAAGTGGATCTTTGCTCAGGTGAATTAAAGAACATTTATGGATGTTTTTATGTTGTATTATTTTCTTGAGGTATAGAAATTCATTAAGTTGCGGAAGTTATGGCCAAGAAATCGGCTAAGAGAGTGGACAAGAAGGTTGTGTAGAAGATTACTGTTGAGTTTGTAGGGAGATTGAGGTAATGGGGCTTTACAGTTCTGGCATAAAATCCAACAAATCACGTTCATTTATTGCTCTTTTTTCCCCCCAATACTTCTTTGACCATTCACTGAAAATCAATGAGACACAAAAGCTCTGCTTTTTTATGGGCAGCAATAATTAAAATAAGGAAGACAAAATCAAATAGACACGGAATCGCAATCAACCCATGTTTCACACTGTATTTCTTGCTTCATAGCTCTTTTATTTTCAATCAATCAAAAAAATATCGTGAAAAATAAGAAGTGAGATATTTGACTGGGAAATTTCAAATACCTCTTTTTTTCCTTGTATTTTTGCTTAACGCAAGATTGTGGTAAAAAAGTGCGATACCGGCTGCGGCAATTGATGTGTCAAAAATTCAAATAACAACGAGAGATGTAATTTATTTTCCATTGTTTTGCCCACATTTTCTCTCAATCAATTGATAAGTTATCCAATTAATAAACGGATTAGCGGTTTTTTCTTCTTCTTCACGGTATAAACCACATTTCTCTACCGTCTTTGGCACTCTACATGGCATTCTCTGTGGGCTCTATTGGTCACAAAAGCTCACAATTTGCTGTATATAGATGGGAGAAGGCAAAAGAGATATGTGATGATGATGAAGAAAAAGAGTTGGCTACAAATCTTGCGATCAGAAGCCGTATTTTCGTTCACCAACCCGCCACATGCAACAAGGTTAACATGTTCATTTTTTTTTGTAAGATATCACTCTTTTTTCTCTCCTCTCGATGTATTGGCACAAGAAACTCTTTCGTCCATATGACGTACGAAGATTGCTTGTGTATGAGTAGGTTTGAAACTGGATTATTATCGTGGTCAAAATGTGGCGGTAATTTGTGGACAATTAAAATTATTTACCTGAGAATTATAATGACAAAGAAGCTATTCGTTAGACACGCACAAATTGCTGGAGATTTTTTTGTGTGCGGATTTTCCAAAGTTCAGAGAGTTAAGACAGAAAACAGATTAGGAAGATGATAGGGAGTTTCTACATCGCGGCGTGTGGGAAAATCACTGAGCGCACGTGTGAATGGAGAGACAGAGTGTGTGATCCAGGAAGGATAAAATTAAATTTGGTGATCAGTTGAATTGTGTGTATGATTTTTTGGGGGGGCGATATAGAGAAATGAGGAATTTGTTGCTGAAATGTCTTCCTTTTCTGGGTGATTTCTTGCAGAGGTTTGCCTTGCCGTGTCCAGCCAGGTGCGCTACACACTGCAGGCATTTTGGGCAGTCTCCATCAGAGAACTACATATGTCACTGTGGCGACCGTGGACTGAGCTTCGCGAAGCTGCCTACATGAGTGATCGTGGAATTGTTGATGTTCAACACTATCAGCATCTGGCTGTTGATATTAGGTGAGCGGTCTTGGCGAGAGAGGAGAAAAAAAACACGCGAAACTCTGCAATATTCCTGAAATGTCAATTAACACAAATGACGTGGATTTTTATCTGTCCATTTTCATATAGGAATAAATCCCCACACAGTGAAGAAATCATCACACTGAAATCACCAAACTCACCTCTTGCTCTGGGAGCACCACCAAGACTGTCCTACCCACTCGTGATCTTTCTCATTCGTGACTTTGAGCAAGATGAGATTCTTCATCCTGATGAAACTGTAAGTTGAACTTTTATATTACTACGATAATAATTGTCCATTATTACTATTGACTGCGGCGTGTGTGACTTGTGGTGAGAACCGGACTGGCTTTTTCACTCGATGAATTCAAGTTCACATTAATTAACTTTAGTCCAAGTGATTCCTCTAATGAATTCTCTAATTATCTCTGACAAACTTTTCACAAATTTAGAGGGCAGAATTCGAGGCAGAACTCATGACAGATTTCTGTGCATGCGAGAAGAGAGATAATGGCATGTCTCTCGAATTTGTGGTTTTCATTAAAAATTTTCAAATTCAAGGTTATCTATAATAACAGCTTGTAAAAGAAATCAAAATAGAATTAGATAAAAAAAAGTGAATATTTTTTGAAGACTCTGCTTTTATAATTTATTCAACAAAGGTAATAAAAATTTCCAACACACGATGAATAACTTTATATATGTCTCTTCTCTCTCTCTGACTTCGTCGTGTGTTTTACTATCATAAAGAGAACAATGATTTTACGACTGTTTCCGTAAAAAATTCATCTTGATTTTGGGTGAGAAAATATTCTCTCTAATATGTGATATCACGAGAAACTTGTAAAACTTTCACCGAAAAAATGTTAAACTGTAAAGTACCAGAAAAAAAAATCTGGGAAAAAGGTTAAAAATGTGTGTCATTTGAAGAATATTTCAAGAGTTTCTGTGTATCTTTTTTTTTCTCTCGTCTCACCACTTGTCCATTGTTGATCTACATCAAACGGAGTGTTTTTTTTTTCTCTCACTCTCTCGCGGCTCATCTTGTGTCCAATACAATATTCGTCAAGAGTATCGTTATGTACTATTATTTTGCTGAGGAGTAACACACAAATGCTCCATTCACGATGTGCAAATGATTTGGCAGGCGCTCAGTGGAAAAAGTGTTGAGCTCTTTCGGACACAAAAGTCAATGTCGAAAGCAAAAGTGGTTTTTTTTTCATCATCTTCATCATCTTCACTTTTCAAACACTCTATTTTTTATTCCTGCGCCGAGTCATAATTACCAATTTACCGTTTCATAAATAAATTGTATAAAAAGTGATGAGGAAAAAAAAACGTGTCTGCGAAGAATATGAAGATAATAGTTGCGACCTTTTGTTGGGCATCTCATCTCAAATGTCAGGAGCCGCGTGGGGAAAATGTGAAGAATATGCGCAAGTAGCAAAAGTACTCTGAACAATGTGAATTTTAGTGTGTCACAAAATGTGTAACTTTCACTCTTTTTACGGGCGGCAAAAAACTCCCTCACTGTGGGTGGAATAAACAATAGCATTGGGGACAAGAGGGAGTGAAAAAATTAGTGAAATAATTGTTGATTTAACCATTTTATGGCTTTTCCACGCGCTGTTCTTGTGCTGATGGCAAAAGACAGTCGGTCATTGTTGTCTCTTCGACGTGATTCGTGACACAAATATTTAATTAAATAATATCAATTGAGGGACTTTATGAGGGAGAGAAAAAATGACATTTCTACGCAAATTTTTCCCTCAGTGAAATCTTTCTTTTCACCGCGTGTATTTGATTCTTGAGTATTGAGACGTGGTGCGTGTGCTAAATTGTAACTAATCAAGCAAACGCGTCAGCGTGTGTGCGTGTGTGTCTTGTATGCAAAGAAAGTTGTCCAGATGAATGGAAATTTGCCACGAAATTGACATTTTTTCCATGTCTCAGAGAGTGAAAACTTTTACTTTCCTCAAGCGCGGGCAGAAGAAAAGTGATATTTATACAAATAGAAAGAGAAAATGACAAAAATCACCGAGAAGATAATAAAAAAAAATCGCATTGTGAGAAAGTGTTGTTTAGCGGTGAAGAAAAAAAGCAGATTTCACGCTGAATACATTTAACGGATTTTGGATAAAAGTGCTTAAGAGTAAAATCAACTTCATCTTCCTTCTCCCAAAAATTGGTGTTGTGAGAGGAAGTTAATTTAAATAAGTGAACTTTCACAATAAAGTGTGGAAAATATTATTGAGATTTACGCAAAAGCTTTAATTGTTTCTCTCTTTGAAATTTCGATAAGCGGAATTCACAATTTTTGAAATTATATGCGGGCATTTATTTTGAAATAATCACCTTTCGTCAAACTTATGGGCAGAAATGACTTTTGAAAGTGTGACAAAGTGGAAGGAAAAAAAAATTAATGAAATGTCTTATTAATCAACATTGTAGAACTTTTTACGGCACAAAAATTGCACTTTGAGTGTAAAAATTAATGACATTTCAAGCTATTCGTCGAGTTTGTAAACACTAATTTTATTCATTATTATTATTAATTGAAAAACTTCACATGGAAAATTTATCTCTCTTCTCTTCCAAGAATAGGTTAAACTACCTTTTAACACTTCTATGCAAAAATACACCCTTTTAATTTAATGTGAGGGAACTTTAGGAGAGAATTTGAATTAATTTTATTGTTCTACCGCGTGAATTGTTGCATGATGTCATAGCATATTATTTCTCTCTCTGAAATTTATACATCATAAAAAGGTGTTTTGAGGAATTATCTGAATTTATGCGAGGCACAAGAGAGTCTAATTAAGTGAAATGTTTAGTTAGAGAATTTAAGCGCAGAGAACAAGACAATGCGAATAGCCTCGATATTATTTATTCAATGACTTTATGCACGAATTTACCAATGTTTTCATGTTTGAGCAATTGCAACAATATATTCATTTAAATAAATTCACAATAACAACATTGTTGGGTGTGAAATTTATTCTTCCGGCACATTGAGGTTTTTGTGGTTGACTTTTCTCTGCATATTGTTGTCACACAATTCGCGCCTGTCCTTGTGCGACACAATGCAAGACAGAAGGCGAGATGAGTGTGTCTTAAAATACACTATAATGCATGATGATTTGCGAGACAATAATCGCCCTTTTTCGTTCTCATTTCAGGTGATCTTGGTGAATGTAGTTCATCTGAGAGATCCAGTTTGTCCTCTTCCCACATCCGTCTTGGCGCAGTATCTGAAACAATCGAGTGGACAACTATCGTGTCTTAAGGTGAATACTATGTGTTGTTCTTTATGATTGAACTTCTTTGTGACATGAAGACACTATTATTGAGTAGATAATGTCACTTCATAACTGTTAATCATTGCGAACGATCGTTGACCTCTTGCATTTCTTTCCTCATCACACTCATTAATAGTGTTTGTACATCCACTGGAGAATTCTATATATGAGATTTTTCCTGAGACAGCGTGTGTTTGCGGCACACATTGGAGCTCATTAGAGACTCTTCGGTCACTTGGAGTGGTGTGAGGAAAGAAAATAATGATGTACAAATGATCAATTACAAGTAGTTGAACAGATTTGTGAGAACAACGATATTGCATATGCAAATATTGACACGTGGATGATTAAAAGCTCTCAGTGTGAGAATAATTTGCATGGCAAATGCCTCATTTGAGAATGAAAACACACTGGATGGCTGGGGCAGGAGGAGGAATGTAGCTGCATCTATGTTTTCCACACTGATCTGTTACTGTTGATCGAATGTTAGAGAAAATATATTTCTCGTCATTTTTCAATAGACCGGTTTAAGAAATCACGACACTTGAGAGATCTTCGCATACAAATTCCAAGTGGTCACGACTAAAAGTGAGCTCCGTGAGATGTATAGTGTGCTTGAGGGATGGCTTGTTGTCGTTTGAGACTCCCGGGAGTGTGCAAGAAGAGTGGCAATTGAGTGCACGATAATAGTGATGACGATGGCGCTTGATTGTGGCGACGAACAGTTACAAATATTATGTAATTCCTTACCTCTCTTACATTTACATGCATGTAGGTCATGTCTTTATTATCATTGTGCGCGCCAATCCGCGAGTCTCACTTTTTCAAGATACATATATTTCCCATTCATGTGATCTCCAAGTATTTGTGGCTGCGGCTGCTGCAATGATGTAATTTCTACGCCACTCATGTATTTGTGCTCAGTCTTTTTCGTGTACCACAAACTTTGAGATGCTATGTATACAGGTATATGCAAAAAGATCTCAAATATGCTATGCACGATCGCGTGGGGAAATTCCCTCACTCCGCGAGCCGGTAACTCTTTTTTTTACATATTCATCTCGACACGTCGTATTTCTCGCCACCTCCGGAATTCAGCAGCCAGAGAATTCAATGTGCAGATCCCATGCGATTTTTTGTCCTTCTTTCGGCATTTTCACTCTCTTTTTTCATTCGGTGATTAAGACTCTTTTTCCATGGAGTGACCCAAATTTATATACAACCCATAATCTTGAATTGCGGACAGTAAAAGCACTGCCAAAGTTGACACACATAAAATTCTGCAATATACAACACCAAAACTCCTGAAAGAGTGTGGACAAATCCAATTGGGATCTCTTTAATTTGCCGTCCTATTTGGCAAAAGGCGTTGAGTAATGAGGGGAAAACCGCAAAATAAAGATCAGAGATCATTTTATTGGACAACATCATTGCTTTGAATATGTTGTATGAAAAATAGACCACTGAAAATTCACTTTTAATCCGCGTGTGATGATTGATCACAACAAAATTGTCAAAAGCTGTCAAGTATGGAGAGAATAAGTGAGATTTTCTAAGGTACAAGTTTATGGCAACATATCGTTCGTCTACCTTTTGGACTTAACCCATGAAATCGTGGAAAGTTTCGTTGATCTTCACTGGATCTATTAAACTTTGATTAACCGCCTAATGGGAAGGGTTTAAAAATTTCAAAATTTTCCACACGCGTTTGCATAAATGTTAACTTCTTCTCGATCAATTTTTAATTATGTAAAAGACACTCAAAAGTGACAAAGCATAAAACATTGATTGTAATTTATAATTGCTCGCAATATAAAGATTTTTTTTCTCCTTCAAATCCAATTTTATACAACTATCTCATAAGCAATATTATAGCATTTGGACGAGTGATCTGTGCAACTGGTATGAAATCGAATCAAATTTTCTGCGTGAAGAAATACCGAATTTCCTAATCCTACTGGAAAATAACTTTTGTCGAGTGATATAAATCTGAAGCACTGCAATATCGTGCAACAGTGAATGATCAATCGGTCAGAAAATTGATGCTCTCTATTCGCAAATCCATAACTCATGTGCTTCCTTTGCAGCAACTGTATCTTGCCACTGGAGATCCGCTCTCTGGCGATGAGACGACAGCACCGATGCAGACGGGATCGCTATCTCTGGCCGAGCCGGTCGCCTGTGCCGGCAACGGTGGACCCATTCTCTGTTCTGACGGGCCTCAGATGGAGCAATTGTGCGTGGTGTGTCACTACTTCCCACTTTCACGCGCCCTCCTGCCCTGTCGACACACTTGCATCTGTGCCGTGTGCTTCTGTGAGTAGGTCATCTGAGGCATTTTGGACTCTCTCGCTGACGATGCCTTTTCTTCTTTTTTCGCCAGCAAAACTGGAGCGATGTCCAATGTGCAGGGCACCGATCACCAGTTACTTCTGCATCAGATCAGAAGAGTATCTGCCGGCAAATCACACGGAATCGCGTCCGGCCAAGACAAAGGGGAATGTTCACTGGCTCGACGCCCTCAATGATCGCCTCACGGACTTCCTAGGATTTAGATAGGTGCACAAGTAAACACACAAAGCATTGAGGAGTTGTGACATTGAAGGATAGCACTAAGTGGAGGACCCCACCCTGTGGAGTGAGCCAAGTAAGTGTCGCATGGGTGACGATGAGCAAGAAAGGGCGTTGCGCAAAGAAAAAAAAACCATGCGCGAGATGATGAAGGTGAAATTAATTCAAGCAGCAATTTTTCTGGTGAAGCATAAATAGAAAAAGTTGAGAGAAGAATTTTTTCTGCTGTCTAATGTGCAATAGGCAATGTTCATGTTTCGGTGCTTTTGTATATCACGTTTTATGGTCAATTGCTTTGAGAATTAATTGCAAAAGTGATCAAAAGCCTATGCTTAGTGTGATCAATGCGGTGTGACACAATGGCATAAGTATGTTCTTGCGCGCTTTCCACTCAAACACACCTCAAATGATTTCTTACAATGACATTCTATCATTCTACATTGGTGCAGTATGTGAGTTAATCAGGAGAATACTTGGTGTTTCTGCTGCTTTGCATATTTTTTTTTTAATTCTCTCCGCTGCATTTCGTGGCATTTTTCTTTGTTGTACAAAAAGGCGTGATGGCGTTTATTGCTGCACCTTCGTGACTTCTTTATGGGATGCTCGAGTGTTATTGAAGAAGAAAAAAAAGGTGCCTCAACTCTTAAATAGGAAGTCTTTATTCCACCCTTAATTGCAATGGAATAATAAAGTTATCTCACTGCTCCTCCTACAGAGCAGTAGCCAGATTGAGCAGTAAAATTAAACAAGTCCATCGTCAAGTGTAATAAATTTATTTTGCCATGTGGATTTTGTATGTGCCGGAGAATAGGGAAAGTGGGTCGCTCCGTTGTGATCACATTTACCCTTTTACCATTCATTTCGTTCTTTGTTTGTGTGGTACATTGATCCAGAGCGGTCTGATCATTCGCAATACTATTAAGAAAAAGCTATGCCATGTACAAAATTGTTTGGATCAATGAACTGAATTTGTTGGGTGAGCGAGAGGGAGAGGGAGAGAGAGAGAGAAAAAAAATTATGCAAAAACTACTTTAACATGCTTAGCAAATCGCAATCTGCAAGACTTGCAGAAAGAAAAAAATTATATTATAATTTTCTGCGATAAAATCTCTTCGCATAGTGAAAGAGCCATAATAGAGAATTCTGCGAGACGAAACGTGAGATATGAGTTATCAGCACACGATAGAGTCATTTGGTAAATTGCAGTGATGTTAGTGTTAAAGGTTGCTTTCAGAAACTACATCTATCAATGTAACTTTTTCTTCTTCACCATTGCAACGAAATGCCCAAACTGACCTTGTTTGTTATTATTTAATCGATTTTGTAACGGCCAACGTTATTACTGCAATTATTTCTCTCATGTCATGCTTCATCATTTCATGTGCTTACCTTTATGGGTTTTTTTCTTTCTCTCTTTCTCCACACGGAGATCTTTTTGTTGGTCAGCAGAGATGGCTGGAAAAAAAAGAGAGAGAGAGAAAATAGTAGAGTGTGGCATTTTTGGTGCATTTCATTGAAGAAGAAGAAGAGAAAAAAATTGCAATGCAGTGAATTATGCTTTATAAATACAGGACACAAGAGCCGGCAAATATATGTCTCGTTGATCTTTATAGTGTACTTCTTGCGAACTGGAATATTTTGTCTCACAGTTGTTGATATTTGCTGGCGCAGTCTTAAATTATGAAATTGATATTCAGGGCAGTGAAAATTGATTAATAGATGATTGCCTTTTTCTGACATTCAACAACATAAAATTATGCGATTTTTACGCAATTCCCTGACAGGGATTTTATCAATTAATCCCAGCCTTGGTGGCTGTGTTGTTTTACGTTAGAAATTCATTTGGCCTCAGATTCGGCTCTCGTGTGATCATCTCGCGCTTGCGTCTCTTCACTGCGGTAATCTCTTTGGCGTGAGTGAGAGAAGAGAGGTGAAAAAAAAGAAAATAGTATGGATAAAAACCGGCCTCTTTCACATAATCAGTTGTGACCAGTTGGAGAGTTTGAAAACACTTTCCCTCCGTGTTGTCTCTTGCGTGCGTCAGTCAAGTTCAATGACAACACGCCAATATAGCGTCTTATGTAGGTAATATTGGATATAAAAAAAAAAACGGTGGGAGTCGGGAAAAAAGGTGCGAGAGAGAGAAAATGTTTATTTTCTCCATTGAGAAATGTGCAACTGTGCCCCAATGATAATGATTGCTGTTGCCTCATGTCTTGTCGATTCATTGAATTCATTGAATCATTAATTGGATAAAATTGATCGTAATCACGTCACTTTCACGTTGAATCCAACAACGCAGAGAGAACTTTAATAGCTGTGACACTTGAGGAAGTCCTTTTATCCACGCCAACTTGACGCAAAGCACAGTGCAATTTGCACGAGGAGCGCCGATGATCTTGAGCGTTCGCTGGTGATCTTGACGTGATCTTCGTTAGTAATCTTCAAGGGGGGAGTTCAAATTTGCATTTCCTCAATTCTATCGCCATTGTTTCATCTTCTCTGCCTGTGTAATTTCAAGAGTTTTTACCCATAATTCCCCATAATTAAGATTTTCCGCGAAGTGTTTGCTTTTTCCATGAGCTTCTAATTGAATTGACTCTTTGTCTTAACATGCGACACCCTCGCTGCAGGCGCTGTCGCCTAGGCTGAGCATCATCACTTGAATTAGGGCCCATAAAAACACCAGTAGGAGGCAAGAGCGCTGCCAATGGCTCTCTTTGTGAAGTAATAATCCACTGGCTATCTAATTAAATTGTTTAGTGGCTAATTTATATGGACATTTTAGGCGACATCCAAAATAGATGTTTGTTAATACAAATTTGCAAGATATTTTAGACAAGAGAGTGAGTGTGCTCAAATGCTCAAAATATGTTGGCTTTGGAAGAGAGCGGAGGAAAATTGACGCGATATTTTCGAAGAGCAAGAGAGGAGTTTGTTGTCTCACTTTTTCCACTTCTGCGGGCATTTTTAACACATTGACTAAAAGGCACGAAAAAAAAATTTATTGCCATGATCGGTGTGTGATGGTGCGAAGTTGAGCTTAAAAACTCCGCACGCTGGATTGACCCACTTTATTCTTGGAGACTGCCGCAAGTCTTCAAGGTTTCCTGGCCACAGTAACAGCGCTTTACCCGTAGCAGCAATTTTCCACTACTCTGTGAGGTGCATGAATTTCAAATTTGCATGATTCTTACGCTGTCTCACCCATTGTCGATCTCTTTGCCACTGTCTTGCCCAATTTCGCCATCCTCCCGCACTCGCGCTCAACCACTTCTTCTACTCTCTAGCTCCATTTTTCCAACTGTGCATCCTCGCTATTTGCAATTGGTAATTAATGATGAAAGTTTTGCCCGTTTTGCCTTATATTTTTTTTGCCGCCTCTCACAGTGTCGGCCGGTGTGGATTGGCAAACACACCACTGGCTATTTACACAGGAGAGATTGCAGCGAATTTGCAGATAATTTGATGACTCACATAAAACTTGAAAACCCAATGAATTGTGTCACTTTTCCCAATTGTGAAGAAACAGACCGTTGATGGAAGTTGATTTAAAATTCAATAATCCACTTGCTGTGGACTTTTATTTGAGGTTTTCTTTTTTCCCCCATTAGACTGCTTTGCGTGCGATAATCCAGATTGTGATGCATTCTACTGTCATTATTTATAGATTAATTGCTCACGAGTAAAACCATGTTACTCATTATTCTGCTTTAATTCTGGTTCGTCATAAGAAACTGTACATATATTTTTTTATGAATAAATTACAGCACAATCATCGCAATAGATAATGTCACGGTGAATTTAAAACACTTAACCCGAATAAGAGTGAAAATTACAGTCAATAACACTTTGGATTTGAAGGCAAGAAAAAAATGAGAAATTCCCACAATCCGGCTGAGAAAATATGAAATGCTGAAACGCGTGGCAGTTATTGATTTATATTTACTCAACAAATGATTCATTAGAAGCAATAGAAAATCAACAGAGAGAATAGAGGGAAAGGAAGAAAAAAAAAGTGATTGTGAGACAATCGATGGCAAATGCCTCTTTTTTAAATTAAGACGATGGAATTTTATCTTCTAGAAATTCCTTGGCTTGATTTTCCAAACCTAAAATTTATTCAATTGATCGCGACCAAGTGACAGATTTATTTGTGGATGATTTTAATATGAAACAAAATAGCGGTCAATTACATTTCACCGCTGCCAATTTGCATGCAGAGTTCAAATAAGTAAACAACTCTTTGGAATGTTTTTCACAAATTTTTCTCTACTTCTAGCGACACAAACTTGCCAAATTGTAGAATAAATAAGCAATAAATATCGGTACTTCCTTGAAGGAATGCTTGAGAATTGAGCGCGGCGGATAAACTTTCAAGACACTTGACTAAGAGAAGATGGTTCAAGAGTTGAAGAAAAACAAAAACATTAAAGATAAACCACCCAAGAATGAATCAGAAGACATTCTTGAGTGGTTTTTTTTCTTCTTTGGTGCTAATTGTCATCGAAATGTGGACAAAGGGGCACAAAAGAGGCCTCTTGAGGAGGAGATAATGAACTTTGGTGTTTTGTGTTGTGTTCTTAGCATTGGTTTTTTTGCGCGAAAGTTCTCTCAAGTGAGAATCACTGAGGAAATATGCGGTGAATAAATAGCAAATATTGCTTCAGAACACTTTCGGCCAGACACTGTAACTTTGATTCATTACTCTCTTCGTGTGTGCCTTTTGGGTGAGATCGTGCGAGAGAAGTAATTATTTGCATTCTGTGCGGAGAATGACTCACTTGAGGAAAGTAGAACATATTGCGGCTCTCTCTCGCGAGTCTGACCTGGATTGGGTGTGAAGGAAAAGGCTTGGAAGGAAAATGGGTTGAGCTCTCATAACTGCACGACTTGGGATTATTATGTTCTTTGGAATCCCATTGTTTGCAAACCTTACAAAAAAAAACACTCTTCTAAGCACACTTGAAAAACACGCAATTCTAAACTATTTTATACTCCAATAGGATGAAATTCCCAAAGTGAGAAAGCTTATCAGAAAGTGGCCGCTTTTTTGTCATGTTTAATTAATACAGTTACGTATTGGTGCAAAAAGGCTTGAAATTGCTCAAAAAAAACCGCTTGAATTTTTATCTTAAAGTTGAAATTTCATGGAAAAACAATAAAATACAATTTAATAGAGAAGCAATTTCTAAAGCATAATGACCAAAAATTGGTGATTTTCTAAACAGAGTAATTTTGAGAAACCGGAAAAAATCGTGTGATAAAAGTGGTTTATTTTTCTGATAGATCAAATTGATTTAGAAATGTTTTGTAATGTTTGAGAAGAAAAATGGAAGACCTTCATAAAATTCAACTTATCTCACACATTTTATTAACACATGAAAACACTCGTATTTCGTGTATTTCACTCTCAAATCCATTTTATCCATTTCCATATGCAAATATCTGGCTTTTTTTTTACAAATATCAATTGACTACATTTGGCGATGGCAAGGAGAGGTGTTCAGAATGAGATAAAAGACAGACGTTTGTACATATGTATGTATCTTTCCGGGAAAATAGATAATTTATCACTGTTGTAATTTCTTCTGGGAATTTCACTGTGCTGTTCAATTCCCTGAATCCGCGCGCCGGGATAATTAGGCATGAAGAAGTTAAGATGATTGACCGGCTTATAGATGTGGTGTGGCCAAAAACAGCGCGGAAATTAGCATAAGAATTGCCTTTTAAATGGACAATGGGTGACTGTGAAAAGGCATAAAATGTAAACATGACAAGAGAGATATTATATATGATGGGTGGAGGCGGAGAGAGAAGATAAAATGTAATATTCTAATTATCCAGTCTTGCTGACGTCTTTCTACACTCCCGAATCCCCGTGCGATTGGCAAAATATTGTTTTTCAACCAACAAAGGTTCACATTCCAAAGATGCTTGTTTATGACTCTTGACGCCGGATTATTATTCTTATTATTATTTTGGGAGGAGAGAAAATGCCAAGAGATAGAGAGAGATAGAATGGACAAAAGGTCGGTGACTAATAAATTGGCACGAGGCAATGGATAGAGAGATAATGCAGTGGGAATTTGGCGAAGAAGAACATTCCTATTGACGTCACGTGGAGGATTTTGTCTCCAGCGATGGCGCCAATATTAGCGCCTAATTTGCATACATATTGCGCGGCTTCGCTGCTAATGCAATCTTTCTGATGTCTATTCCAGGAGATTTGGTTCACAACACAGCGCAGAGGAATGGAGAAAGAGAGGAAAGTCAGAGAGAAACCTTGTCCGTCCTTCAGCATCAGCTTCTTAATAAAATAATGGCAGAAAAATGTAAATTAATTTAGTAATAACACACACACAAACACACATCACGATGATATAATTTCACACTATATAGCTGTAAAGTGTAACTATTACTTTGTAATTTGTAACAGTTAGAGATGTTTTTTTTTATATATATATTCAATGTAAAAGAAATGATGCAGGTAAATTGAGTAATATTGATTACTTCATTTTGAGCAATGTGTCTCTTTTGCAACAAAACACTAAGGATTTGTTTGAATATTCACGTGAACTTGTGAAGAAGTAATGTTTTTAATATGTATGTATTTCCCCCTCCCCCCCTTTTCCCCCGTCTAATTGCTAATTAATTTAAAGAACTACTTGAGAAACCATAAATATCTCCTCACTGAGTATCCAGTAATCACATTAGTTTGTAATGTTTTAATGCAGAGTTGGGAGGAAGAAATCCAGGAGGAAGACACAGATAATTTCAAGCACTCTATTCACTACACGTCACAAGTTTTGAAAATGTCTAAATTTAGCAGCAACTAGAGCAGAAGTATATCTCTTATCTAGCCATGTTCCAGCTCTGCATGTGTGAATGATTCTATTTAGTGGAAAAACACATTAATGTTACATTAGTCTGTGATAAAGAGGAATTTAAGTATGGAGTAAAGCTAACATTTATGCGACCACGTAGATTTATTGTTAGGCATTGTAGAGGATTTTATCAGTGTAGCTTAAGTATTCCCAGTGTTAAACGACATGATCATGACGAAGTAAGAAATGTGAGAAGAAAATATTAGCGTGTATTTTTCACTTCCTAAATTTCCTCCAGCCGAACAATTGGCTCTCCATCGAGTTTCTTGATGTTCGGCAGACGTTTCTTCATCATCTCGAAGTACTCCTCCTCCTCCTCGATATCTTCCACCAGAGGATTCCCGGCGAAGACGAGCTCCTCTAAGTTCTTATGGTTGGCAATTTTGTCCACTTCACTCCAATTTCTGATGAGATTATTGGCCACATGAAAGACTCTAAGCTTGACCAGCAACTCTAGCCCAGTGAGCTGCTGCAGACTATTGTAGCTCATCCAGAGCTCTTCCAGTGTCTCCGCAACAACCTCCAATCCAGCCAGAGACGAAATGTTGTTCCTCCCCAGCGAGAGAATCCTCAAATTCTTCATACCCTGAAGCCCAGCGACCTTTTCAATGCAATTCGTGGACAGAGAGAGCATTTCACACGACACCAACTTCGACAAATTGTCATCCATCTGCTGAATTGGCGGCCACTGGAACTGCAGCCCAATTTCTCTGCCCTCCTCCGCCGCGGTGTCATTTTCCTCCTCCCACAGACTCAGGGCTTTGGCGATGCTCGTCATGCTGTCAAGGCGACTGAGCAAACAAAATGGCAAAGGCGACCACAATCAAGGAAGCTCTCAAGCGCTGGGAGGAAAAGTACAAAGTCAACCCTGTCGAGGCGAAGGATTTGGAGTTGCAATTCCAATGGCCGCCCATCGAGAGGATGGACAATACTTTGGGCACTCTTGTGGCCTGCGAGTGAGTAGAACACAACAGCACAACTCGCGAACAGCCTCCAAGACACATTTCCGCCTTGCAGATTTCTCAGTCTCTCCACGAATATGATCGACAAGATCTACGGACTGAACGGAATGAAGAACCTCCGGGTGTTGTCACTCGGCCGGAACTATATCAAGCAAATTTCCGGGCTGGAGTGCGTGTCTGAGACACTGGAGGAGCTCTGGCTCAGTTACAATCTCATTGAGAAGCTGAAGGGCATGAATTGCCTGAAGAACCTCCGCGTGTTGTACCTCAGCAACAATCTGGTGAAGGATTGGGCAGAATTCAATCGCTTGCAGGAGTGTCCCAGCCTCGAGAATCTCCTCTTCATTGGCAATCCCCTGATGGAGACCATGGAGGAGTCCCTGTGGAGGGCAGAGGCCACTAAGCGACTGCCTCTGCTCAAGAAACTCGACGGAGAGACTGTGCTTCGCGAGGAAGAGGAACAGTAGAGATTCCGTGGTATATGTATTCTCAAAATGCACTATAAACTACCACTGATTGCGCCTGGATTAGCTCTTTGCGGCTTCCTTCTCCAGGAACTCCTCACCGTAGTTCTCCGTCTTCATGTCGTTCAGGCCCAGCTCTTCGTTTTGATCAAAGGTTCTGGTGTATTTTGTGATTTTCAGCGCCTCATCGGCTTCGTCACCGTCCACCAGGGACTGCACATAGCTATTCCCCGCCGGATCGTCCAAGATCAGAGTGATTTGCTTCCTTCCGGCTATAATCTCTTCAAGAGTGCTGATAAATCTGTCCCAAGAAAAGATACAACATAAGCTTTTCGTCCTTTTTGCTCAATAAATCCACAAAAATTCCTTACTTGTCAAACTTCCGCTTCGTGGAGTCATCAGTGGAGTCCACAAATGTCTCTCCGCCGTCGCTCAGCTGCTTCTTCATCGCCTCCAGGATGCCCTCGACAGTGGTGAAGCGTCCACCAAGGGCGCTGGGCCCCACCTCGCAATCAATCTCCGGAATGACGAGTCCACAAGTGTCGGACTTCAACACATCTCTCGACAGATCCTCCCTGCCAGTGATCTTGACCTCAATCCTCACGCCAAACTCCTCAATGCCACTGCCGGACTTCACTTCGTTCGTCTTGCAGCCGCACACGTCGCACACTGTGGCCATGATCACCACCTCCTTGAAGTGCGGAATGCTGGTCATCTTCATGTTGGTCTCGCACGGCGAGCGGCACTCTGGACAGAGCGTGGAGAACTGCAGCACCTCGCCCTGCAGCTCCTCCAGCGGCCACTCGTCCTCCTCGATCATCTTGAGCAGGAAGTTCCCGTCGTCGCCCTTCTCCTTGCCCACCTCCGCCTGTGTGTAGATGCCCAGCTGGTGATTCTGCTCCTCAGTACGCAGAAAGCGATTCACTGTCATCTGCGGATCCGCCGCCGGCGCATTTGGATTCTCCACGTGGCAATTTCCCGTCATGTCCTCGAGAATGAACGTGAATGGCTCCTTGCCGTCCTTGAGTTTCCGCAGCGAATCGCAGAACTCGTCAATTTGCACAGCAACGTCCGGATAAGCGGCCCGACGAATTGTCTGCTCCTGCTCGAGCCCCTTTATGCTCCTCTCCAGAATGCCCTCAATTGTGGTGATTTCGCCCTTCTGCGATTGCGACGGAATCTCAAAGTCCAGCTCCACAATCTTGATACTACTGTAGTCAGATTTCACCACTTTCCTATTCAAGTCCTGCACATCCTTCACTTCCACCGTGATTTTGCAGCCGCGATCGGCAATCTCACCTCCGGATTGGATTTCATTGTTCCGATAGCCGCAATCTTCGCACTCAAACGACATGAGAATGACTTCTCGGTAGAACGGGATTCTGGTGAGCAGTAGTCTCGTTGTGCCCTGAAGCGAGAAGAGCGGTGAAATTGGTGAGAAAAAGCCGCGAATTTGGCGAAAACAGCCTCCGAACGAACAACAATGTGACCATGTTTTGACATCAACTCTCACTACTCACGTTTTTCATGCAATTCACGCACAGACTCTCAATCTCCGTGGCTTCCGGTTCAGGATCCTCGGCGGTCAGGTCACGAAAGATGGGCTTCTTGGGATTTCCATCCATTTTATCACTGTTTTTATCAGTAGAATGCACAATAAAACAACCTCAAAATTTGCACACCTTTTGGTGAAATTCACGCATGTCAGCTGGCCACTGGCATGCTAGACCCAAAAACACATCAGAAAATGCATGCAAGAAATTTGGCGGAATAACCTTCAATTGTTATTTGTGTTTACATTTGTGGTGTTGTCCAGGAAATGAGTGAAATCCGTGAAAATAGTGATATCCGCCGACAAATCATCAATACTTTTAAGCTATGTGGCTACACAATTCGATCGTAAGCAGATTTGATTGGAATCCTTGCGAGAAGTTGTTGAATTTCTTGTATTTCAGAGGAAGTTCAGACTTCCTTGTGGCGGAACTGGACAACATGTATCCGGAGGATCGCCGAAAGATCCTGGATGAGATGTGTGATCACATTCAGAGACAAGGCTTGTCCGCCCCGGTTGTAGAGCAGCACCACCTCGAGCTAGCCTTCCGGGAGAGTCAAAACTATGGCTTGAATGAGAGTGAGACGGTTTTTAGTGTCATTGACAACATCTTCACGATACCTTCTTTTATCTATGACTGCGAGAGGAAGAAATTCCTGCTTGACACCAAAGCCAGGAGCTTGCTGGCGGATCCTGGCGCCAAGGCTGAGTGCCTGAGGAATCGCTACTACATGCTGTGGCAGAGAACAGCTCGTCACGAGATGTTCGCCAAGAGTGCACTTGATCAGAACCCCACTGGATTCACACTGAGACGCGTGGAGAATATTCTCTGCACTTCCAAGATGAGAGATGTCGTGACTCTGGGAATGTTCACACAGTTTGGCGATGGGAAGTTTCATGTGGAAGATCCAACAGGGACGATTCCGCTGGACTTGACAGAGGCAAAGATGCATTCTGGCCTCTTCTGCGACGGATGCTTCGTGCTCGTCCAGGGAAAGTACACGGACGGTGTGCTGAAAGTGACGAGTCTGGGATTTCCACCTTCTGAGGCTGCCACGAGCAGCCGGGCGTACTTCGGCACGGCCAACACGTGGGGCGGACGCAGCAAATCCCTGCTGAAGTACTCTCAGCGCCTCAAGACCGTGGAACTCACGGACACGGAGGCCACGATTATCTTCCTCTCGGACTGTTGGCTAGACGACGCGACTGTGATGCAGAAGCTGAGGGTGCTCTTCGAGGGATATGACGACAGCCCGCCCGTGGCGATCGTCCTGATGGGTCCTTTCACGCGCAATCCCGAACACTATCGACTGCTGAAGGAGAAATTCACAGAACTGGCCAACATCATCGCGCAGTGTCCGTCAATCATGGCCAAAACCGACGTGGTGCTCGTGCCAGCGGTGGATGATCCTCCCACCAGCAACATCCTGCCGCGTCCCGCACTGCCGGACTTCCTGGTGGCGGAGCTGAGACGAAAGGTTCCGCGCGTGATCGCCGCCACGAATCCCTGCCGTTTGCAGTACTGCACGCAGCAGATCACCATCTTCCGCATGGATCTGGTGACGAAGCTCTGCCGCAATGCCATCAGATTCCCGGAGAGTGGACCCATTGAGGAGCACGTGGCGCGCACTCTGGTGTGTCAGGGCTCTCTGGCACCCATGCACATGAACGTGATGCCCATCCTGTGGCACTACGACGCCGCCCTGTCGCTCTACCCACTGCCAGACCTCGTGGTGCTCGGAGACTCCAGCAAGAGCTTCAGCACGCAGCTCCAGAGCTGCACGATTCTCAACGTGGGCTCCTTCGCCAAGAGCAACTTCTCCTTCAAGGTCTACGTGCCGCACAATCGCACCGTGGAGGACTCCATGATCCCCTCCGAGGACAGCCTGACCGAGGATCAGGCGTGAGAGAAAATGCCACTGTCATTCGTCCTAAAATAATGCATTTCTTTTTAATTTCTATATACAACACTAAAGCTAAAATATCACTTTCAACTTGGATTATTACATTTTGCGTGTGACATTTCTTTTTTTCCACCATTCCTTCCACACAGAGAATACATTTTATCAAGCAGAAACACAGGATATTTAGCTATACAGACGTCGCGTGCAAAAGTTTTTTTCCTTACTTATTATAAACGTCTCAATTTTATTAACGAGGATCGCAAGTCAATTGACTGAAAATTGCAAAGTCTTGCCTTTCATCTATGAAACCATATTTATCATAAATTGTTTTTTTTTATTAATTGTGTGCTCACTGCATAAATGCACATCATATTGGAGAGACCCTTTGATATAAAATCTCATACATCAGTGAGACTGACACTTTTGACACGTAAATCATAAACCTAATTCTACAGAATTCTGAGTGGCTAAACGAAATAATTTACACAATCTTTTCTTTTGTTTGTTTTAAGAATATCATATAAAGCAAAAAAAAGTGGGAGCAAAATTGAGAGAAATATGTTTGTTTTTCTTTCTTTTTACAACTTACAACCTAATAGTATACATCTTTTATCTCTTTTCTTTTGCAATTACAAAATTTCTAATATTTTCATTATATGATATAGTTTTCTCTTAAATAGAAAAAAAAGAACTATCAACAATCAGAGACTTTGCCCAATTACTTCTGGCACACTCTGTCACACTCCTCATTGTCTTCTTCCTTCCACTCTGTGTGTCTCTTAAAGTAGGCAAAAATTATACTGGTGTGAAGTAATATGTAAAAAAAAAAAAATGACAAGAATAATATTTCCACCTTCACTTTCTCGCATTTTCACGTATTCGGCACAATGTTATTTGCTTCTGCAAAATCAAAAAGAAAGAGAATCAAGTGAATTAGTTCCCAAAAAACAGAGAGAAAAAAAACAGCCAAATTTACCATTAATTTTTTTGCAGTCTTTTTCCTTCTGATACCGAAGCAGCGCCAATTCGCGCTCCCTGGCGTCCAAATACCACAGCGTGATCGCATAGCGAGTCTGATGGGACGGCTGCACCTCGTGCGGATTCCGCCTGTCCGACCAGAAGAACAGAATACGGTCAAATGTGGGTGAGATGTCTGCCACTTGATCCACGGATCCCTCCGGAAAGATTCTGCACAGATCAAAGCGAACAATTAGATTAGTTTCAGACACTTTTCTCAATGATTAAGCTTCAATTTACATAAATTTCAGAGTTCGAAAACACCAAACATCCTTAGTTTATGAATAAGAAAACTGAATGTCGTAAAAGCAGTAGAGAAAGTTTCGCATTGAATTTTCAAGAACTCTTTAAGACAGTATAAAAAGGTCAAATTTTCCCTCCTCCATTTGATCTTTCCGCCTCACCTCAAAAGGCCTCCGCTTTGCTGGACATCCCAGTTGTGATTCAAGTAGTAAATTGCTGTGATGCACCTTCCATCGCTGTTGGGATTGTCCACGTGCTTCACATAGTGCGATCCTGATCCTGGATAGCAAGCAACCATGGCCTGAAGAGAAGACAAAGGAGCGCATTAGTGAAGTGTGCCAAATGGTTATCGTCATCGTCGCCGCAAAAACATGACTCAGTAAAAAAACACACCAATTTATTGATAAGATTGCAATTTGCGAATTTTTTCAAACGCAATTTCGGAAAAACCACAAATTGAATTTCTTCCCGTCATTTTTTAACCCACTGAACGATTTTATTAAATTTTTTTTTGATGTGATTTTGAGAGGAAAGAAGACAAATACACAGTTTTTCAACGTTCAGCCATTCGGTCATTCATCCCTCAACTCGTTTTCCACCGCAAAACTCTCTCTCTCTCTCTCTGTCTCTAAAGCTCAGAACACAACAAACATTCCGCGCGCTCAAAAACAGAGGAATCCCATTACGCTCCAATCAAGAAGTCATGGATAAACATTTTCTTTTTTTGCCCACTTATTAGTAAAGTAAATGTCCGTCGCGCGTCTATTTATAGTCTTGTGATATCAAATCGCCTAAAAAAAAAAATTAATCTCCGTAGTCACAATAAAAACTCCACAATAATATTCTACTAATAACACAGAAACGACAAACTTTATCTCACTGACCTTCGCTATCTTGCAAAAAAATCATCATCATATCACAAAAATTCATCCAGGAAATTCAAATATTTGGCCAAAAAGAAGCTTGTACAATTTCAAGAGGCGGATTTATCAAAAAGTCGATAAGAGGAACTTATTGAGACATCCTTTCGACGCATTTTCTTAATTAATTAACTGAGATTTTGATATTGCACAAATTTCTTGGCATTTCCTGTTCACATTTCTATACTGTGAAGTGTGATTTTTTCTTCTTCTTCTCAATGAGAATGGCTCAAAGCGCTGAAAAGAAGTTCACTTCTTGAAGGTGTCGAGTGATTTTTCCGGTTTCAGCATGAATTATAGATGAGATGATGCAAGAAATTTTAAGCGGAAGGATGTTTTACAGTCTCATCAGGAGGAGCTGAGAAGCATTCTTCTCGCCACACACACGCTCAGCAGAAAAGCGTGACTGTGTGTAGGCCAAATGGGCATTTCTTGCTCAGTCTGCCATTCTTTTTCGCATAAATTTGTGAAAGAAATGGGTTCAGAGCTATGCTATTTTGGTGCTACGTGACTTTTATCATGCTCCACACGAGTGAACCCCAAACAAAAATGACCACAAGCATTGAGTGAGACATGGGAAATTGCAAAAATTGCTAATCTCACGCTTTCTCGCAAGTTCTTCTCATCTCAGAATGACCGAATAACGTATTAGAAGTTCGCTTTGAATCATATCGTCAATAGTAAAACCTTCCAGTGTCTTTACGGACTTGCAATCCTGGCCATAAATGCTCACCTTGGTTCTCTCTCGAATCGTGTATTGTCCCAATTTGCCGTTATTCTTCATCTTATTGGCCAGCGTTATGATTGCATCCACCTTGAGAGATTCACACAGATTTGGTGTGTCCATGAAATGAAATAGAGATAAAGATAAACTCAATTAATATCCTCCACTGGAAATTAAATCCCCGAGATGCCAATGCGTTCAGGAAGTTTCAGTGTGTCTACGTGACATTCTCTGATTCTCTTTTCAGCGGATTTTCCGCACACCCGCCACGCAAAAATCGCGAAAGATGAAAGCCTAATTGAATTCTGTAGACATTGGCATTAAGTGGGATCACAGCGCGGTATCGCTGGCAGCTGATGCGTGCGCTGCCAGCGATAGCGCGAGTCTCGTCGACAATCTAACTACCTGATTGATAAGATAGTCGATATTTCTGCAGCCAGGCTCCTTGCCGCTGATCCAGATGATCTTGTCACCACGAATATGTCGCAAATCCCGCCTTCCCTTGTTCGACACCAACTGACCGTCCTGCAAGACAAAAGACAAAGGGTGTGAATTTAAACTTTAAAGGGCCAAAAGTGTGTGTGTGTCCTTTTTCACTCCAGAATCGCATGAGCACATATAACCTCACTCTCCACACACCAATCACACCGTTTGTTTACACTTCCCGAGCAGCCCCGCCTGGGGATCCACTCGAGGTGGCGCGCGCGTGGGTGTTATCCAGGGGATTCCCGGGTGGCGGAAGGCAATCTCGGCGGGCGCGTAAACAATGTGAGTGTGTGTCATTGAGAGTGTGAAGTTTATCACCTTGAAAAGTCCGGCGGAATACATATTCATGACCTCATCGCGAACTTTGTTGCCGCGCTCATCCCCCAGGAATTTGTCCATCACGCACACGCCGTACGCGTTCATGTCCCTTATGAGATTCGTGCAGAACTCCTCCAGTCGCTGCTGCTCCTCGAACGATCGCCTGAAAGATGGACGCACAGTGAGACATATTGATGGATCACGAGGGCTGTTCGCCGGGGGCGCCCACAGGCCCGCCGTGCACGCGCGCGCGCGTGTGTTTGTGTGTGTGGGGCAAATGTGGGTTTGTGGAGCGGAAAACGCGAGCGAGCGAGAGAGAGATCAATCACCTGAAGTTGACATTCAGCCTTGAGTCGCTGCCGCCGACCAGCATTGTGTTGGATGGTAGGAATTTCTTGTCTTTCTCGTCAATCAACTCCCGAAAGTCCAAGTTGTCGTTGGTGCTGCCCAGCTCGGACGCCGTGAGGGGCTCCGCGCGCACACTGAGGATCTCACTCTCGCTCGTGCCCTGCTCCGGGAGTGCACTCTCGGGCCGCCGCTGCGATGTGGACGACTGTGTGGCCACCGCGGACGCCGCGGCACTGTTGGGCGGATGGCAGATCCTCTTGTGCGATCGCCAGTCGACCCTCTGGTGCTCTTGGGAGCAGTAGAACACCACTTGACACTTGCTGCACCGCCGTATGTTGGCCGTCTCACCGCACACCTTGCAGCACAACACCGTATCAGTCATTGTGGCGACCGGGGCACACACTCTCTCTGCTAATGACACGCTTCTGGGGGCACTTTTTCCACCTTTTGCAGCCCTTTTGACGCAATCATATCAGGAGCGACACTGCACATAGAGAAATTATCTCACCATTCGCTCGCTGACACACCAAATGCGGCGCACTTCACTCTCATCGGCAAAACTGCTAGAATGCGCGCGATGTTATGAAAAGGAGACGTAGAAATTTATTGACTCCACAAATTTGTACATAACGCATGCGAGGAAATCCATTTTCCCTCTAGAACGTGACTTTCGTGGTCCTGTAGATGTCCTCCCGTCTCTGCCTGGAGATGGGAATTTGGGCTCTCACCTTCTCGCACTCGCTGAAATCTGTGGAAGTGAGAAAAGTCGATAGAATCCAGAATAAATCCTCAAGTCACAAGACAAACTCACCCAAATCCTTGACGACTGTAGCCTCCGGAGCCTCCGCATCCACCAGAACGTGAGCCCAGGGATCGATCAGCGAAGAGTGGCCGTAAGCCACGTAATCCGATGCTTCATCCCTCGCCGGAGAAACTGTGGCCACAAAAGACTGAGTATCTGAGGCCCGAGCCCGGCCAAGGAGTGTCCAGTGAAGAGGTCCAGTCGTCATGTTGAATGCCCCTGGATAAACCAGGAAATTGCATCCGTCATTGCGATAGAGGCGCGCCAATTCCTCAAATCGGATGTCATAGCAAATTCCCAGGCCAATCTTTGCCTCGTCAATGGCAAATGTGGTCAAACTATTGCCCGGACTCAGCGTTTCAGACTCCTGAAAGCGAATCTGTCCGGGAATGTCGATGTCAAAGAGATGCATCTTCCTGTATTTGCCAATCATCTCTCCATCCGGCGACCAAATAGTGCTGGTGTTGTACAGAGTTGACGATCCTTCAGCCTCCCTCTCCGGAATCGATCCAGCAATCAGGTAGATTCCCAACTCCTTCGCAGCCTTCGAGATCTCCCTGCTAGTGTAGCCATCGGGGATGGTCTCGGCGTACTCATTGAAGTACTTCACACCATACGGAGAGTTGAAGCACTCGGGCAAGATGCAGAGGAAGTTCTTGTTCTTCGACGTCCAAGTGGAGGAATTTGGTCCATGTTCAGCCACAGCGGAGCGCAGTTTCTCAATGGCACGTGACACATTCTCCTCCTTATTCTTGCCCACTTTGAGCTGCAGAAGAGCCACTCGCAGATCTACAACCAGAGATAGGAGAAAATTAAGCAAATTGCTGATAAGAAAGCCAAGAAGTGATAGCGTGTTTGTGTGGTGTCTGCACTGATAACAACCGCACAAAATTGTCTGTGGCTTTACATTTTGATTCTTCGCTCATAGCAGATTCAGAGAAGACACTTATTCACTGTGAATACGCTGAAAAGCACCAGATAAATGTGATATTTTGAAGGCCAACAAGGCAATTTATATATGAAAACAAAGCGCGCGCCTTCCAGTCAAGTGTCAAAATCATATGAAATTTCCAGGAAATTTGTTCTACCAAACTTACAGCGCAGAATTTGAGTATTTCGCTGCATTGATGACTGAATTTTAAATCTGCACAAATCTACGGAGATTTTATGTACTAAAATATCACACGAAGAGTAAATTAAAGAGTATTTTTGCAAAATAATATAAATGCAAAAGCCGTGAACTTTTCACCGCACACTGAAATTTTACGACTGACTGGAATGACAGTCGGGAAATTCGAAATAACGGAATCGGATTTCAAAGGGTTACTCAAAAATATGTTTTACTACACATGCAAGCCAACAAATCATAAAAACTCTGGAGAATGTACAATATTCTGATTAACATGCTTGAAATCTCTAATAAATGATGGTGTCGTAGACATCAGTTCGGCGATGGAGTGAGATGGGAATCTGCAATCGAGCTCTCTCGACAAGGTTGGTATCTGCAAGAGAGAATTCTTTGATTAGCAAATGGGAAAGGGTTGAAAAATCAATTTGCAAATACCCAAGTCGCTGGCTATGATGGCTTCATCAACGCCAGCACACGCGACCACCTTGCCGAACGGATCAACGAGCGAAGAGTGCCCATAGGATAGAAAGTGATGCTTATCATCGCGTGCCTGAGCCACAGTTGCCACGTAGCATTGAGTGTCCATTGCTCGGGCGCGTTGAAGAACATCCCAGTCGCGGGGTCCATGAGTGGTGGGAAAGGAGGCTGGGTAGACGAGGAAATTGCATCCTTCTTTGCGGTAGACACGCGCCAATTCATCAAATCTGCAGAGAAGAGATCAGATTTCACCATTTTGCCACGCATTATCGAGTCAAACTCACCTGATATCGTATCCAATTCCCACGCCAATCATCATATTGTCAATGTGAGTGGTGATGTAGTCTCTTCCTTGAGTAAAAATATCACTTTCCTTGTATGGATAGCAGCCGGCAACGTCCACATCGAACAAATGGAGTTTCCTGTGAATTTATATGAGAATCCCAAATAAACTCTCACAATCATTCGCATTTACCTGTACTTTCCGATGATTTCTCCCTCCGTGGAGTAAATTGCGCAAGTGCTGAAGATCGGAGGATGGCTGCTGTGGCCATACTCTGGCATGGCTCCAGCGATTATGTTGATGTTCAGTTCTGCAGCCAAATTGGATATTTGATTGCTGGTGTTGCCATCAGGAATCTGCTCAGCATTGGCGGCAAGTCTCGAGAAGTCGTATTGGCAGTTGAAGTATTCCGGCAAGATGCACACAATCGTCCTGTTCCTGATCGTCCACGTTTCACTTCCTGGTCCATATTTCTTCACAGCCTCACGGATTTTCGCACAACAGTGATCAACGGTTTCTCGCTTGCTCTTCTTCGGCTTCAATTGCAGCAAAATCACACGAACCGCTGCGGAAGAGGGGAAAATTGCCATTGGGAAGCTGTTTTTTGGGCGTAAAGCAATGGAAATCTTACTGAAAATGGACTCGAGAGGAGCCTCTGGCTGGAGATGCTCGCTACTATCACCGGAGTCACTCATGATCTTCGAATCGATGCAATTGAACGCCTGTGGACAACTGAACTCTTCGTAACAGGATGAGAGTGTTGTCTTTGTTGCAAGGAAAGTGAGTGCAAAGTGCAGATAAGAACCTGTTCTGGTCAATTTGCAGAATTTGGACTTTTGGGGCCTTTTCAGTGTGTGGCAGAGTCAACGTTGAGGACTTGATGAAACTTTAATTGGATCATATTGATGAAAGTTTCATTCGACGGATAATTCATGCCTTGGTTTAGCACAGATATGATTCTCAGTGAGCAATTGAGCTCTCTTTAGTGCATTAATACAAATAATTACAGAATAAATTAACATTTTATGGATTTTCAGTGAAACTGCCGTTTCTCTTTGAATTGCGATATTCTAGCAGTTGGTCCGATATTCTATGAAATATGGCGGTCGTTTTCGGCAATGGCGCGCGAACAGCTGGGTTCCCCCACTTCGCCTATATATATTGGCCATATATATGTGGCTGCCGCATTCATATTGAGAGTCGCGTCGTGTTTTGGTAGTGAAAATCTACGTCATATTTTTCCGCAACAATTGTTCCATATTTTGTGTAGTGAAAAGTGTCCACAGAACATGCAGGATGACCACCGACGTCCAGCTCTGTGATATCGAATTGCTGCTGCGGCACTTCGTGAAAGCCAGCTACATTGCGAAGGAGGAAAATGAGTCGGACGTAAGATAAGAGGGAACTTTTCCTTTATGCGCCTCTTCTCACTTGTGTGTTTACGCCAAAACATGCTTTTCGTGTTCTTTTTGCGTTCTTGCCATCCACCCAAGTGTCCACCCGAGTCGCATACACAAGGCATGCGAAACTCGTGGCTTCTTGGGGGGTTAGAGAGCACACCATCGCGGGCCATGGAATGCGTACACTTCAATTGCGCATTGCCAACAATTTCCACTCACGCGGTGTGGAGGAGAAAATTTCGCACAAAATCATCGCCCACATGCTTCTCATGTGGCGCGAGCGAGTGAGAGAGAGAGAGCGTGATCTTCTGGGTGGGAAAATCCTCGGCGTAAAATGAAATTTGCCTGCCTTTGTCGCATCTTTTGGGCAGCAAATTGTGACAAAATTGCCTGCAAGAGTGGCAATTTGGCCACTTAATCACAGCCCAGGCGCCGTTAGTCGATCTTTTACAGCCACAAAAAAAAAACCAATTCAATGCTAATCACTGCCTTTTGTTTCTCCGGAACTCCTTTGTGTCTCTGGCAGGAGTTCAAGCCGGTCCAGAAGTGCGCCGATCTGATGAAGTGCGACTACAATGTGGTCGAGGTGTCGAATAGATTTGGCCAGCTGTGCACTCACTATCCGAGTCGCCTCCTCATCCCCGAGTCCGAGCTGGTGAACGACAACAGTGAGCAGAGCGCGCGCGGCAGTGCGCGCAATCTGCACAAGATGAGGGACATGATCCCGGGGGCGCGTTACGCCCGATGCCGCTCCCGCTTTCCCGTGCCGGTGCTCCTGTTCAAGGGGAAGCTCATCAGTCGCGCCGCCACAATTTCCGGCGGTCCAGAGATCTACGGGCGATCGGGTCTGGACTATATCCTGTACGGTATTCCGCCTGCAACTCCTGTCGAGGGTGAGAACTTGCCTATGCTTTCTGTTTGTCGCCCCAAAATCACTGAGAAACTGTGATCACACGCTTGATCGCTTCACTCGAAGTCAGACGAAACACAAGAGACTCTTCTGTGTGCTTGCTTTTTGCTGGAAATTCACTCTAAAATCTCTCTTTTGCCAGAAGGTTCAGGAGAAAAATTGTGGGCAATGTGGATCAAGGGAGATCCAGTGGATTTGCAAATAGAAGAAAAGATCATATTGGGAGGTAAAGCGTCAGAATTCACGTATTAAATTAGATTCCAATAAGATCTTAGAGGACTGTAATTTCTGTGCAAAAGAAAACACGATAGTTTGACTGAGAGAGAAATAAGAATTCTCCGTAATTACATAACTACGGATTTTTGTTTACCTTCTCTCTCTCTCTCGGAAGAAATAAAACACGGAATTCCGCGCGACAAAGTTAGAAAAGAAGCACAGAAGATATGGTTGTATCTTGATTGATTAGAGAGGTTTATCTGTTCCCAAAAATTGCTGCTTATGTTGTTTTTATCTCTAATCTTCTGAGAAAGAGAGTGGAAGCGATAAAGTGCTCAAGTGTCGCTTAATTGCAGAAGAATAGAGTTTCAATGTGGGTAAAAAAATGTGTTCTTCTTGCAGCTTACAGTGATGATGTTAATGAAGCCATACCGGCCGATGCAGTGGTGCAGAATAATCCGGGAACTAAATCGACGTCAGAAACAGAGCCAAGTGATTGGGAATTGTGCGATCGCGTGCGACATCAGGACATAAAACTCCTCAAGTCTTTCGATGTGGAAACAATAATTGATTTTATGGTGGAGAAGAAGAAAGTCAAATTTGGCGTAAAGTAAGCGCGCGGGGCATTTGTGCGAAGAATGGTAAATTTTTAATACAATTTTCTGTGTGTCGTTTCAGTGTGACATCGTCTGAGAAAGTGGACAAGGAGCGGAGATACGATGTCTTCAAGATTCTCAGTCTTCCATATCCTGGATGTGAATTCTTTCGTGTGTTCAGAGACAATAATTTCAATGGCGAAGGCCTCATTTTCGACTGTGAGTCGTTTTTGGCTCTTTGCTGCCTGTAATAAACTAACAAGATTCTTTTTTCCTCCATCACAGGGAGTCAAAGTTACGTAGATGCTAGCATACATGTTCCTGAAGATCCAATCATTGCCAATTTGCCTATCGAATGGGATCAATATAAGGTGAGATTTGTCAAGAGAGAGAAGAAGAAGAAAAAAAATTCAATTTTCCACTGAGTGATTTCGTTTTTGAGTCAAATTCGCCAAAGGGTGAAAAATATGAGATATTTCACGCTTTTATGCTAAATCCTCAGTGATTCGAGATAATTGTCTTTCGGGGCGAGACTTTATTAGCAATTAATTTCTGCCACTAATGAGATTACTTAATTGAGAAAGATGGGAAGAAAGGGAGGAAAAGAAGAGGTTTCTGTGTGTGTGTGTGTTTGTGTGGGTGGAAATTGGCGATTAAAGTGTGTTCACGCTTTGGCGACTATCAAATGCTAATTGTGATAGAATCCACTCACGAAAGTGCCTTTTTTCTTGTGTGTCTCGCGCACAGCTCTGGGATCTCGTCACCATCACGCAGAACTACCTGAAGCTCGTGCTGAAGTACATCCAGGACGGCAGCTCTGGGATGCTGATTCACTGCATCAGCGGCTGGGATCGGACGCCGCTGTTTGTCTCCCTGGTGCGCCTCTCCCTGTGGGCGGATGGATTGATTCACAAGTCCCTGAATCCGCTGCAGATGCTGTACTTCACCATTGCGTACGATTGGTACTTGTTCGGGCACAAATTGCCGGATCGACTGAAGAAGGGCGAGGACATTTTCTTCTTCTGCTTCTACTTCCTCAAGCACATCGCACACAGTGACTTCAGTGTGCTGGAGGAGAGCAAGAGGAGCAAATCGAGCAGCGGAAGTATCTGTGTTCTGCTCGCCGATGCCGATCGACTGGACAATATGGAGACTGAGAGTCGTGGCTCAACTTTCTCACTGAACTCCATCTCGAGTTGCAAGAGCAACGAGGAGAGCCTCAATGGGTGAGTCGAGATTGAAGTCTGTCGGATGTGGAGCAATTGGATAATCCCTGCGTGTTCTGTGTGTCTCGTGCAGGAACAGTCAGAGCCAGTGGACCACTGTGAGCATGGATGGGAGTGTCGTGCAAATGGGTTCATCGCCCAGTTCGCCCAACAACTTAAATTCCAGCCCTCGCGACAGTGCCTCTTCGCCTCCATACAAAAGGTCTGTTATTGTTCTTCTTAGAATTGTATTGCTGAATAATATGGGATTCTGCGAATCTCCAACAGCCGCACGAGTCCCGTTTCTGTGCCTGTCAGCAATCTGATGCAGCGTCAGCACCATGAATCGTCTTCCTCCGCGTCCGTGGGCAGTTGGCAGATGATTTCCGGTACGGGGAGTGTGCGTTCCGTGGGCAGTGACTTCAGTGGTGTCAACAATCCCAATGCCAATCATCAGGACTTGAGTACTTCGTCAAAAGCCTACGGATTACCACCGATGAATGACACCACGAAGATGTGAGTGAGAGTTTCTTCAAGTGCTGAAGCAAACTAGCTTTTGCTAATGCTTTCTGTCTGTTTTTCTCTTGCAGGAGAGCCGCTAAATTCGAGACAATACGCAAAATCTTCAATACTTACTACTGCACAGAAGTGCCGCACTTCAAGAATGGCCAGTACGGCAAGGGAATGATTGAAAAGGTCATCGATACGATTTACTAGGCGCTCCAATTGACTCTGATTTCCCTCCTAAGAGAGGATATTTTATCGTTACTTTGTGTCTGAGCGTCAATTTATGGATCACTCATGCGTTTCCCGTCGACTGAAGAGAGAGAGAGAGGCCAAAAAGCAGCGAGAAAGTGTGCAAAAGTTACTTTATTTGCCCGGTTTTTATTTTAACACGGATGATTAGACTCTTTGGCATTGAAAAACTCACGAAGAGACACTGTTGATTGAATTGTTCATTGTGTTCATTGTTTTATCGCTGAAAAATTAGTGTCTTTAAGAAGGGCCGAAAAAGGGTAAATCTAGTCGAGGATGAGAGTGGAAAGAGTCGAGAAACACACTAAGTTTTAAGGATATTTCGTGAAAAAAAGGGTGTTCTTATTTCATTTTATACATTAATTAACTTCAATTTCTACACCAACAAAGTGTTCTCTAGATTTTAAGCAAAAAAAAAAGCCTTTCTTTTATAGAAGGCAAACAATGTAGAACAAATATTGAACTAGAGACAAGTCAGAGCTCCTCGAGAGATTTGAGAGACTTGAGAAGATTGTTGTTTCTCGGATATTAAATACAAGATTCTATATTACACAGATTTATTACAAATGATTTCCCTGTTCGAACATCATTTTAGCAACGCGCCAATTTCATACCATCCGGAATCAGAGGAAAAAGCTGAGAAGAAAGAATCTTAACCTCTGGAAACTGTATTGCAGACTTCAGATCTTTAAGAATTGTCTGATAGGAAGAAAAACGCACTATTTTGTCAAAAAAACCAATTTAATTTACCTCCGAACAGACGATTCGAGCGATTAGATCGTGTTCACGCCGCCCATGAGGTTCACATGGCGATTCTTGTAGCGCTTCGAGATGTCCGACTCGATCTGGTGCTGGAGGCTCTTCGTGTGGCTGATGGCCTTGGTGAGATCCGGGCGCAAGTCGGCTGCCTGCTGAAGGTACTTCACGGACTTCTCCTTGCACAGGTTCTCGCCTTCCTTCAGCTTGTCGATCGCCGTGAGCTTCTGCTTCACTTTGGCGGCAAGAACGTCGATGTATCTGGAAGAGGGTTGAATTGGTTAGGGATTCCTGGAGCTTCAGAGCAGATGCTTACCTTGGGGAATGCTTCACTTGATGCAGATACTGGAGTTGTGGTTGCATGGCATTGGCCAGGATCACCTCAACGTTCACAATCATCTGCTGAATGGTGTTGGTGTCCTGGCCGGCAATCTCGTCCAGGAATGTCATGGAGATCATCGAGGACTCCGTGGCCGTGGTGAGTTCGTACAGTCTCATCTTGAGGAAGGCCTCCAACTCCATCAGTTCGCCGATGAACTGATCTCTGTACTTGGGCGCATCGAGGATTGAGAGAGCCTCATCGCCGCGCGCCACTCCGCCCGACTGTCCGCCGCCTTCCACGACAATCCCGCTCTCCTCCAGCGAGATGTCGAAGTTGATCTCCTCAGCTTCCGCCGCCGCCGCATCGCCCGCTTCGCCCCAGTCAATGTCGTCGCCAGTCTGGAGGGTGATTTCGCCCTCGCCAAAGTCAATTGTCGCCGCGGCGTCTCCGGCATCGCCAAAATCAATCTCTTGACTGACTTCTGGGACGCTCTCCTCCTCGCCAAAGTCCACAGGCGCTTCCTCCACCGACAGCGGCGCCTCTGAGTACAGGAATTCGTAAACAGTCGTGTTCCCATGCGTCGTCACGTGCCTGATGATCTCCAGGCAGTTCTTGTTCTGACAGTACTGCCCATAGAGATTCACCGCCTTGTCCAGAGCCGACATCTTCTCCGCTATCTCACCGTACATCCTGGGCAATTCGCTGAGCTTCTCCTTCAGCTCGACCCTAATCTTCTCACCTTTAATGCCCAATTGCTGGCACAGCGCATTGAACTCCGCCCGGATGGCATTCTGGGATTTCACCATGTCCTTACTCTTCTTTGTCGCCTCCTCGCTGAGCTGCTCGAACTTCGCTATCTGCTTCTTCACGCTGGGAATCTCAAATGTGATATTTCGCACCAGAATCTGTGCCGCTTCCGCCAAATAGACACTGTCTCTCTCATAACTCCTCACAATGTCCTGCCAATCCTTCATCCTCTGACTGCCATAGCGTCCAAAGACGTTCTTCGTGTCCGCCTCAGTCATCTTCAGGATCTCCACAATCCGCAGGCAGTGAAAGTAGTTGATATCTGTCAGGGAAACAATCACTTTCAGCGATTTCACACTCTTCTGCACATTCTAAAATGTGAACTCACGCGCTCCGGACAGCAGCTTCACCAACTCCTCATGGGCAGGCATGTCCCTGATGGCATTGTTGATCTTGTTCCGGATGTCTGGAATCGCCTTGTGCCACTCTTTGCCCACAACTCGTCGACTGACAAGCCATTCCAGCAACTTCCCCGTGTGGATGTCAATGGGGATGTCTTGCTCCTGCAACAAAGGACACTCTTGGTCAGTTACCGCCACGGAAAAATGCCGCTTCTTCACTCACATCCATGATTTTCCTTGCAGGGATTTTCACACTCCGCGCAGAAAATAGACACGTTGTCAAAGAGCAGCTGTCACGGGTAATATTTCGACGTGTAATTTATGCACAAGTTCGCGTGTATTTTATTCCCATGGAAACGCGCGTCTTTCAAACAGAGTGTTCGGAGTGTTCGCAATCCGCGTGAATTGGAAGTCCTTAAAGTGCCCAAAAGTGACTCTGTGAGGAAAATGTCCGGTACCAGGTTCAAGGAGAAGATCCATGAGAGATTCATCATGAAGAAGAGAGAAGCCACAATGAGTCATTCGCCCACAAATATACCAGTTCCGCCCAGTCGTCGAATCAGTGCTGTTTATCTCCGGGAAGAGACTGAGATCCAGAAGATTCTCCACGCTCAGCCCACTGCGGACAGTGAAGTGTCTCAGACTGAGCGAGAGATTGCATTCTTCACCACTGCCGCTCCGGCGGACGACGACGAACCAGATTACACGGACATTCATCACCAGTCCGATGGGAATTTAACGGAAGTCTCAGAGAGATCTCTGCATTCTGCATCTCCAGCACAACCTCGAGATGCTCAGGAGTCTCCCATTCACCTGGCGTCATCCTACGTCCAGATGGATGATCATGTGCCAACAGTCGAGAGGGTCAAAGTGGAGTTCTCCTACGATCAGGAGCTTCTCACCACTTTCGAGGAGAGTCGCAGACTCTCCAGACTGAATGTCGAGCCCACGGCGAGGAATGTTGAGGAAGAGGGTCTCTATAGAGCCTCAGTGGCGATGACTCAGAGGAAAATGCAGTGGTTCGACCAAATGGCAGAAGAAACGGCTCAAAGTGCTGAAGAAACTGACGCTTATCGGCCTTTTCTTCAACTTCCACAACTCCCAAATCCCGAAAACGTTCCCACTGTCTTCCTCTGCCTCCGTGAAGAGAATCTCAGCTACTCGCCATACATGCTGAACCACAAAATCCTCTCCATTCACTTCTCCACCATCCAATTTGGACATCATCCCTTATTTTCTGAGGAACACGTTCTCGCCCAGAGAGTGGAAAATCTCTTCAAAACCTACACTGATCTGCAAAAGTGTGATTTGGCAGGACAATTGCGTCAAAAACTAATCACTAAGCGAAGGATGTGCAAAGGATTGGCACAGAAAGAGTCGAAAAGTGATGAAGATGCTTTGAAATTGAACAAACATCGGACAGAATTGAGGATCACAAGGAAGAAGCTTCACGAGGAGGAGCAAAGGATCAGGGAGAATATTAAGGATCTCCTCGGTGAATACAAGAAGTTGAAATCCTTGCGGGAGAAGCAAAAATTTAATCTCACAACGATAAAACTCACAATTACCGCAACAGAGATGAGCAAAGAGGAAGATGAAGAAGCTTTTAAGAGGGATTTCAATGAGGAACTGGACGAAATGCTCGATGAAGCTTATCAGGAGTATCTCGAGGAGAAGAAGAAGTACACGGAACTCGTGAAGAACATCAAAGAGGGCGACAAAGATCCCGATCCAATCGAGAGACCAAATGTTGAGACTATTAAAAACACTCTGCAAGAACTGTATTCGAAGACAATGAGAGGAATTGGTGAACCAGTTGTGCACATAATCACTGCCAGGATTGAAAGGACAGAAGTGAAAAATTCCCCAAGAGAAGTGAATCGCATTAGGAAGCTGAAAAACACAAAATTCATGTTGAAAATCTCCCTCAATGACGACGTTGTGGACATTGTGAAAGATCTCACGGCTGATGATCAGTTTGAGATCAGAATCAACACTACAATCTCCGTAAGATTGATCAGAAAACTCCCGGAAAGGATCAAATTGCAGCTGTATGAGATGCAATGCATGATTCCACGGTTGAAAATAGCCTCAATCACTCTTCCAGTGCCCGAAGATCGCGATCACTTTGAGCATTGCGAGACGAGGAGTTTTGACTTCACGAATAATCGCGATATTCTGAGCGATGTTGGAATAGGAACAGGAAAATTCTGTCGTATTGAGGGATCTCAGGATCTGTATATTCATGGCAAAATATCCTTGACGATCGGCTGGTCTCACAAAGAGTCAAATTCTGAGTTCAGAGACACTCAAGCGGCAGCTGTAATTGATTCTCGGACATTGAGAGATCATTTGCAGTGGGATCCTTTGGATCCTGAGAATGATTTCACGTCAATACACCAAATTCACGAGCACCAGTTAATGTCTGACGATAACATTCCCATGACAGAGATTCAAGATGATGAGAAACTTGCTTTTTGCCCACCTGAAGTTGTTGAGCAAAATACAAGATTGAATTTGCTGATCGAAAGGGCCAAATTGACGGCTCAGTTCAAGGATATGAGACTGATTCCGCAGGAGGACAGGGAGATATACCTGAGAAAGGATAGCAGGATAATTGATGAAACCATTGGAATGGATCCAATTGATCTCTCACGCCATCAAGGCAAGAAGAATCTGCTGAAACTCCTCGCCAACATTTCGCAGATCAATGAAATTGCCAATAGAGAGAATGAGGATTTCAGGCTACTCTTCCGCGAGGACACGCCCACTCTTAGCAGCTTGGGACAAAATATTCTGGGAATCTTAGGTGCCAAGAGGCCCCTCAAGCCCACGAAGAGTCAGTCAATGAAGCCCTCTTGTCGCATCGATGATTGCCATAAGTTCACCATCACTGTTAATGTTGGGCGTGCCTTTGGAATTCCCTCGCGAAGTGACGATCAACCACAATCAGTGCGAAGGAGCAGCAATTTGTCATCAGCACAGCAATGTAAGGACGAGAATCTGGGACTCTTTGCAATTCCACATAATTTTTCTCTCAGCTTTCAGGACTATTAACGTCAGGCCGTACGTCGTGATTCTGTTCAAGGATAAAACAGCCAGAACTTCAACAGCTGAAGGATCGAATCCAACGTGGAATGAACAGCTCCAAATCCCAATAAAGTACATCCTTAAATTGCCATTGAAACACTCTCTAAAGCAGCCTTTCTTTCAGTTTCCAAATGGATCAACTCAAGGGATCGTTGTGCATTCAGCTTTTCGACGAATATGTGGATGATTTGCTGGAAGATGATCGACTTGGAATGTCGGAAATATATCAGAGGATTTCAAGGAAGTGGATTGGAGAACTGAGAATTCCCATCACGAATATATACAGTAATCAAAAGGTCACCAGAGATGATTGGAAATGTGTCTTTGCATAAGTTTTCAATAGATTTTCTCGTAGATTGACGGAACTTTTGAGTTAAACTCACCGAAAATCCTTCTGGGATACTCCAAATCATCCCTCAATCCTGGAACATCGTCAGTGTTTGCTGAGAACCTGCCAGACACCCGAGGACCCATCTACTTATCGCTCTTCATAGGACTCGAGCCCAGCTTTGACTCTCCCTATTTCACAACGAAGCATCTCGAGTGCATGGAATCGGATCAAATCAAGACAACCATTCAGCTGTGGTCCATGGAGTTCAGCAATGAGTTCCCTCATCGCTTCTGCGATCCTCTGGTCAGTCTCTCGACTGGAAAGAGAGTCACTGTGACGAAATTGCTGGGATCTCTGGAAGTTCCTTTCGACGTGCGCGATTCTTCCAGTGAACATCTCATTCGACGCTTCGTGTCGCTCATCCCAGTTCTCCACACGGCAGATCCTTGTGGCCAATTGACTGGCGTGTGGCTCACGAACAGTGAGATCCTGACCAACATGTGCGCCACACCCAAAGATCTCGCGGTTCTCCTGACTTGCTTCTACATTTACCTCGACTTCAGCGCTTGGCTGGTGTTCGGTGAGGATCGCGTCGCTGGACCAACTTGCTACGTCCTGACGAAGGAGAGTGGCGGTTTCTACCTCGTAGATGCCGTGACAGGACGAAAGTACAGCAGCAGCGATACTTACTGTCCCCTCGTGAAGGTGTCTCTCCTGGCGAATCATCACAATGTGTGGGGAAATGTGCAGAGCGAGAAGAGAGTTTATCTCACACAATTCGATGTGAGGAAATCCATCGATTGGAGGCCACTGTTCCGGAAGAATGTCGACATTCCGGGAGATTTCCTCCAAGACACAACAATCGACTACAAGAGAACATTTCCCGTGAGTGATTTGCAGAAGGTGATCGAGATGAAGCTCATGAAGAAGATCAGTCAGTGGCGTGGTCATCGGAAGACGATCTGGAATCGCTTCTTGCGTGATGAATTGAGAAGCATTCTAGTTGATCTCGAGTCTGCAGTGACAAGAGAATCCAGCGTTGAGGAGCAAATGGAGAAAATCAATGTCTTCCTCACGACCTTCAAGGTGCGCGTAATTTCTTCAACTATATAATCATCTTATAAAACAATATTCAGCACAGTTGATACTCTGTCTCTCTCTCTTCCAGGCTTCGGGATTCCCACTCAATCTTCCCTACTACAGTCTCTCGCACATCGTGGAGCGCGTCAAGAGCACCGGGATTCACATGAATCTGGACAATCGGGTGGAATTTGCCCTCGCCGTTCACATTCATCCATATGAAAATAATGTGCTCTCCGTCTGGATATTCCTGCTCTCGCTCCTGCCCAAGATTTAGGACTTCTGGACTGGACTGGAGCTTCGTGAATTGGTGAGTCTCTGCTTCTTGTACGCCCTCTTCAGCGCCTTCTGCTCCATTTCCTCGCAGTGCTCAGCAAACATCAGCTTCAACGGCTCGTGCATCTTCGCCAGATGCTTCAGATCCTCAACAGTCACTTCCATATTGTCAAAGGCAATCCCCACATTGTCCTCCAGCACGTCAATCCTCGGCAACTTGGCGTATCGCTGGCTGAAGTGCGTCAGAATGGTGTATTGAGCATTCATCGCCTTTCCCTGGCCAACAGCCTGGGACACAGTGCTGTGCATCTTCACCACAGCCTCATACACAAGCTCATCCTCCATGGTCGCCTCGTGGATGAGCACCGTGGAGTTCATGCCGATCCCAATGAGATCCGTCGAAGGCTTCGTGTCTCCACTGTACGTGATCTTCGTCCCATTGCTCAGGTCCAGAGCAACACCGAAGGAATGAGGACAATGAGGAACATAGCAAGTTGTGATCTTTGCAATTCCCATCTCTGCAAGCGTGGCACTTTCCAAAGGATGCGAAATCTGAAGAAATAGAGAATGTGAATAGAAATCTTGGCGTGCGGAAGGTTTTCTTCTCACCATTTGGACATTAGGAACGAGAATGAAGTCATCGGAAATCGGATCGATGGTGTTGTAGAAGGACAACCAGGACGATATTTGCTGTGGCGCCAATAACAGAAGTCTATCCTCTTCCTTAAAGTCCTCAAAGCATCTCCGTCTTGCCCTCAGCATCCCAATCAGTCCTATGTGATGATCTGCGTGTAGATGAGAAATGTAAATCACTCGCAAATTCCTCAGTATCTCGCGTCCTCGCTCCTTCCCGTAGAATCTCAGCATCTGCCCGAGAGTTCCCTCGCCACAGTCCATCAGAAGTGACGCATCCTTGTTGGTCTGCATGAGGATGGCACTGACATTGCGGGTCTTGTTGGGAATGCACGATCCAGTGCCCAGGAAGAGGATCTTTGGAAATTGTTGCTCGCGCGTTTCTCTAGCTCTCGTCAGATAGTCTTTCTGTTGATTCTTCAGCACTGTCAGTGCTTCACTGAATCCAGGCGCTGCGAATATCTCCTCAATGAACTCATCTTTGGCTATTTTAGGCTCTAAACTCGTGTCGAAGCCCTTCTTCGGGCGCAAACTGTAGCATGCCATCGAGGGACAGGAATTATCCGTGGCGTTCGTTTCGGCAAGTATCGGGAAGACGAGATCGTTGAGTTGATTCAATTGCCATTGGATTCTGTGCACGGAAATATTGCCAGAAGAGCTGCAAAGAAGCATTAATTAGTAGGATTCTTAAGAGACAGCTAGGAATTCTCACTTATTCTTCTCATTGAGGATGATGTGCTTCGTGCTGGGAGAGAATTCGTTCATGAATTCTTGATACTCAGCACGTTCGGTAATCTCTGACGGTGTGAAGTGAACCACAACGGCTGCCACCATCTCGTCATCCGTCGCAGATGCCTGATATTTGCGAAAGACATCCTTCTTCTCCAGCAGAACCTGCAGGTATTCCTCATTTGGAATATCGATGACTGGAAAGTTGAGGAAAATGTGATAAATTCAGAGTGATTTAGCGAGAAAACATCAACTCACAGATCAAGAGCGGTCCAGAATCGTCTGGCGCTCGAACATCGCTGGCTTTCACGACTTCTCCATTGGGCAGAGTCACGTCGAATCCGTTCTTGAGCTGCCCTAGCAGTGGTCCTGGAGGTATTCCTTTGTCCACGCACTTCTCAAGTATCAGCATTCCCGGCCTCGGCTTCAGCTTGCAGATATACGTCACGACGTACTTCTCAACGGGCTTCTGCCGAACAGTTTCCTCTTCGTTTCCCGGTGAGGACGATTTGGCCGCCTTCTGGCCAGATCCCTTCTCGTGGGAGTAGTAATCTGTGTCGTCTGCATTCAGAGCTTCCGTCCAGTCCATCTCATCGGCGATTTGTGGTTGTTTCTTGGGCACCAAAGGCAAGTATTCCACTCGCATAACATTGTCCTCATAGAAGTATCCTGGCTCACACTCAATCGCCTTCACCTTCAGCTCGCGCAGCACGACGAATCTCTTCATCGCGCTGAAGATCTCCTTGAGTCCTGGCGGTCCGTGGAGTGTGATCTCCGGCACGCCAGCGTCTTGGATGGTCAAACTCAGTCCCGGCAGTCCTCCGATGTGCCTCCACGTGGTCTGAGTCATGAAGATGTGCTCCAATCTGGCCAGTTTCGTCTTGTGCTCATGAGCCAGTCGCTGAGTGCCTTCGCCACAGTTGAAGAGATACCTGGAAGAGAGCAGTGTCCAGGAGTTTCACCGCGAAACACTCGCATTGCGTCATACCGTGACTGGTCGGTGAAGATGTACACACAGGCAGGACTTCCAGGAGCTCCGGTGCCCAGAACCTGGAGCGTCACTGTCCCCGGAATGTACTTGGCACCCTTCTCCCGGATCCTGATCCGGTGCTGCTGCGCCTCGTGGATGTGCTTCACGTCGCGGGGCATCTTCAGTAGGAGGTCTTTGAGGTTATCTGAGGGTTTCTTGGAGTAACACCTTGAGAATCTCACTAACACTACACTCAACGACTTTGAGATTACTTTGGGAATCATGAGAGACACTTTTCATGGTGTCTTGTCATGATTATGTACAGAAAAACAGGCAATTTCTGCAAAGACTCTTGGTCGGTCTGAATTCCTCCCCTTGCGAAGAACTGCGCTGAATTCACCACTCCATGTGACATCAGAGGTGAAAATGTTCAAATGCTACACTGTAAAAAACCGTTACAAGTTAAATATGAAGGAAAGCTTTTGCAAAGCATTTTATTAGCTGTAAAGTGAAGAATCCAAATGGTTTTCTGGACAAGAGAAATCGAAGATAGGAAAATGTTTTCTTAGAAATTGCTGTAAAAATTTTGCACTCTCATTTAATTAGAGTTTTCCGTGTCATGCAATGAACCACAGCATCTTGAATTGATATTCTTCACTATCAATATCTTCTCATCAATTTCATATTTAAAAAAAAAACTCAAAGCTTCTTGGGTTTTTCCGGTTTTTCGGTTATTAGGTCAACACCAAATTTGCCTAGACACATTAGCTGTAAACCAACATCTCTGTTATGCATCTTCAAAGGCTCCTTGAGCATTCTCAAGTGTCTTGCGGTTCTGTTGCGGACCATTAAAATTCCTTGGTCGTTCATCTCCACACCGCGCAACATAAATCGTACTTGAGTGCCTTTTGTGGCCTGGAGAAAGTGCACCAAAATCTGCAGGGAATTAATCACTGAGCACAGAGACATTTTGCGTTCAAAAGAAGCTAATAATTTAATACAACGATTCATAGATCGAATGCGATCAATCATGCAAATAAATGCACCTTCAGACTCTCTCAATCGAAAGCTCATCATTTTGTTGAAATCACGCCCAAAGTCAGCGCTGTGAGACGCATAAATTAGGCACTTTCCCACGCGATGTTGTGGAAAATACAGATATGAAGCATGGTGGGAAATGAAGAGGGTGCATCTGTGGGATTGGGCGTAAAATGGGGTTGAAAATATAAATTGAATCTCTTCCACGGCACAATATTCATTTAACGCCACCGAGCTTATGCGGCCTCCGCCCCGAAAACCCCAGATAATGGGGTTGCCGAAATGCTGCCAGGCAAATTAATCCGCCAAATTGACTTTCAATGAAGCATCCCAACCATTAACCGATGCTGTGCTATCTGATGCTCTCTGTGAATCCATTGATGGCTGTGCAACCGTGCGTCTCTCGGGGCGGCTGAAGATGCCTCTCTCGTCGATGAGATTGAGTTTCCTCCCGATTTCTGCAACGCCGCATTGTGTGCGACAGCCGCGGAATGTATCAACTATTTCAATGAGCTTTTCCCAATCTCCGCACGCACAGGCGGTATTCGGGAGGAATTCCTTCGGATTCCCGCCCACGTTCATTTGCATCCGCAATGCAATGCACCCAGAGCTATGCTGATGAACATCCCTCGACTTCATGGTGCAATTGATTTGCTGACGTTGAGTCCTCTTGAGCAGAAAGCGACCAACTGCTTAGTAATTAATTGCCAAGATTTGCCCTCTATATTCCACCTTTTTCTTATACAGCGCAATCCATTAATTCATGCTGCAAGTGTTGCTCTCAAAAATCACTCTCCGCATTCATGGATGCTGACTTCAACCCTCTGCCTCTGGCTGAGGGGGTTTCTTCTGCAAAACTTCCGTGGCGTAATGGAGGGAATGCAGGTGGCCCACATTTCCCCATGGTTTTGTGCTTAGTCGACGTGAAAGAATTGAATGCATTTGCAGCTCAGTCAGTGGACGGAAGTGGGTGAGCAACGGAGATCCTCGGGAGAGTTGGAGAAAAGGGGAGGAAATGTGCTCAGGGGCGCTTTGCAACAATAAATTTGTCACGCGAGACTTCTCCCTCACCCAGATGACGTCTTGGCAGGTGAAGTGAGTGCTAAAATCCATTCGAGTTGCAAGAGAAATTGGGTTGAACTTTTATTCAATTGAGATTCTCTTCCTCATTTTTCCTCTCGCCAGCCAAGGTTTCTGCCAATGAGGTTTTTTTTTCTTGCACTTCTTGTTCTTGTGAGTTGAGGGGGAAAAAAATGCCACCACGGCGAGAGTTTTCGTGTAAGGTGGAAAAGGTGGGAGAGTGAAGGGATATCGTCATGCAAGCGTGGAGAGCAAAACTTTTTATCATCGAGTGCCGGGAGGGATTAATTAAGAACATTTATGACTCTGTGAGTCCAATAAGGCTCTGCTTCCCTGGGATAAAACATGCTCATCAAAGCTATGTGTTTTTCCAGAGGGCTTGTAATTTTCTCGTAATTTGTCTCCTGCTCTCCTTTTCCCTGCAAATTGAAAGAAAACATGCTTCCCAGGAGTGACATTCAAGAAACAACTCCAATTCATCATGTGATATTTTTCTGAAAATTTCTATTGCTGATCCTGAATGGTTGTTTTAGGACACTTCATCACCCATGTCGTCATTCCCTCGCATATGCAACTTCTGGAGTGCTTCGGATGAGCATCAAAACGGTGTCGCGCGATGCTGCTAAATTAATTCTGGATGTGTTTGCAATTTTGCATGTAATTAAGGATAATGCTGTCGTGTCTGTCAGAGTGTGTTTTTTTTCGTTCCACCTCCAGCGCCGGATGGCACAAGCACAAAAGCTCACCTTTCTGCAGGTGCGTGATTCCTGGGTGTTTGAGATTTGATGGCGCCGTCAAAGACATCCGCATCGCCAATGAAAATGGACTCCTGGCGCGCGTTTCGACTCCACGGGACATTATTTAATGAGATCCATTGCTCGTGTTTTCATTTCGCTAGTCCACCACCTCCTTCCTCAATTGTCACTATGGGGAAGATGGAACAATTGGGACTCTATCCATTGTTAACGATGTTGCACATTCATTTTCTTCCGCCCTTTTCATCCAGAACAGCCCCTCAGCGAGGACAAGGAAATTGGTGAAATCAGAGGACAATGCAATACAACTCATGACACGGACTTGATTGACTTTAAGAGCTTTAAGAGCTGAGATAAGAACACTGTGAGAATCAATGTTCACACCTGCAAGTGTATCAAACGGTGCAAGACTATCGTTTCTTCCAAAAGTATATTCAAAAGTTGTGACAAAGTATAGAAATACTTTGGAACTCACCATTTACTGTCTTTGTACACTTTGGAAAGTTCATAATATTTGTACCATTTAATGTTACTCTTACATTTAATGTTTTCTTACACTGCATAGTTCTTCAGTGTAAGAAAACTTAGGTAAAACCCTCTGAATTATTATAGAGATAATATTTATGTGAGACAAATTTTTTTTCATCTGAATTTTGCCATTCCCCATCATTATACAGAAAATATATCTTGTGAAATTTTGTCGTAATGCAGAGGACAATTACAAAGGGAAATTCAAATCAGAGACGGTAAATTAAAATATGTCTGCTGAGAAGTCCTCATGAAAATTAATATTTTCACCCTCAGCAATGCCTCACACAGTCGAGAGTTAGCATGAGTGGAAAATACGTAAATTCGAGCATTTTATTTGATGTGAAAAGTTTGTCTGTTTCGGAGGTTTTCGAATAATATACACACAAACAACTTCTGTCCCCATCCTAATGGTGTACATCCCTTTTTTCCACTGACCTTTGCTGGCTGTGCATAAAATTTCCCCGGTATTTTCTGCCACGTGGATGAGACTGATGAGGTGTTTTCTCTGGGATGGAAAAAAAGAGTATTAGAATAATTTACTAAGTGAATTCTCATGCCCTAAAAGCCATTCCGACGTCGTTGTTTTATTCATTTAACGACGAAAGATCATATTTCCACTTCAATCAAAACCGGGTGCGAAAGTACCTCATGAATAATTTAACTTGTTTTTATTGCCATTCCCTCTCCTTCGGGGATCAAGGATCAGGTCGGCGAGATTTGTACGATACCTTCCTCCAATGTGAGTGATGAGCAGGATTATGCGATAGAATAGAGTAATTAGCATAACCACAATGTGTATATAGACTGCGCGTGGCTTTGGAGTTTGTGCTGGTTTGCAGAATGAAACCAAAAGACTTTCATAAACTCAATATCACGCTGCAATCTCGCTATTCAATACTTCAATGCAAAACTTCCCAACAATAGACAGCCTGCAATTCGAATGGGTGAAGAGAGTGAAAGAAATCTGTGTTTTAATTAAGGCTCCATTGAATTTATATTTCTTCTCTTACCCTATCTTTCCAAGAGTTATATTTTACATAATTACGCACATCATGAAGTGGTGTAATATTGATGAGATTGTTGGTGGTGGAAATGAGGTGGAAAATTTTTTTTTCCACCACCCTTGTGAGATTTTCCAGTCACTTCAGCCATTATAAATTAACATGAAAAATCTCGCCTTTGTTCGCTGTCGACATGAAGGGAAATTCAAAAGAATAATTAATTAGTATCTGTGGCGGTGGAAAATCAGTGGCTTAATTGCTTTTCATCGACGGCAGAGGCAAGAATGTGATAAATAGCCAAAATATAGCTACATATATATTCACGTGCACGGAAGTTGGGAGGGTGAAAGTCAATATTTCACATCCCCATGCGATGCTCAAATATCTGTCGGACTCTTTATTCCGCCTCACTCATTCGCCCGCCCCATTTTTAATTGGGCATCACTTTGTCTCCCGCGGTGCGGAACATCCGGGCGAAATTGGCCTCAGAGAATAGGCGAAATATGTCATGACGGGGCTTTCGCTTAGGTGCAGTGGATGAAAGCATCGAAGGGATTGAAAAGGACAGATATGAACGTTTCATTAGTCATATATTGGCAACGAATCCACGGCGATGGAAAGTCGTGATTCGGTCAGAATGACGCGTGATTCCGCAATTCGGCGCGATGGTGCACTTAAATAAGATTTGACTAATGGAAATTCATGGAAATTTATTTGGGAATTGCAGGCATGCGTCGGTTTCCAGGAAATAATCCGCATATTGGAATGTTTACACTGAATGCTTGTTTAATAGAATGTTGATGAATTTCACCTTGCAAAAGGCATCGAAAAAAAAATTGTATTGTCATAAAAATGCATAAAAGTACCGCAAAATTTTCATAATTACCATGTCAGTCATTTCACAGGGATGGAAAATTGTTTAATTATCATATGGTCAATTGGTTGGTTTAATAACAAATATGGAAAACATAAACAGAGTTGGGAAAAGCAGTTAAAAGTGGCAATTTTTAACCGCTTCAGGGGAAATTGAGTGAAACGCAAAAGCGTGTGAAAGCTTTTGTATTGAATAATTTGTACTACATACAAGTATTTTGTTGGGTGCTTCACAGGGAAAATATGATAA